AGATGTGGAGTTCGCGCTCTTTGACTTTCAGGCAAGGGGAGGTTTCCGCAAAGTGCTGGGGTGATGTGTGAGACCTTTTGGGGAGGGGCAGTGGTGAAACAGGGTTTCTTCCAAATGCCAGTTAAAGCTTTTTCAATCTTGTAGGTGACTTTGGATCTTTTGATGATTCCTCTCAGTTTGAATATTCTACATAAATCCCCTGAGCTAGGCTTGCAGTCTGCCAACGAAAGGAGGCTGCTTGGAGCGCTTGAATCCCATTCCCTGTTCTGCATGTTGGAGAAGGGATTGTGTTTGTGTGTCTTATTTGATGCCCGACCGCAAAGATTTGGAAGCTGCAAAGAGGGAGCAAAAGCTGTATGTTGCTTGGGTGGAATTTCGAATGCAGATATACATATAGCGCAACCCAGCTGGGCGTCTCACCACCCTGCATCGATGAAGGACAGCCGAGCCCCCAAAGCGTTTGCCCAACTTGCAAGCTTCTGCTGCTTAGCGTGTGACGTCTCATGAGCACCCTTCAAACATGGGCAAAAAAACACGTGCTGGGCTTTGGGTGCCCAGAGAGAGAAAATCCTACAGCATGCGGCGGTTTTTGGTTTCCTTCCGCCCGGGTTTCGGAAGTTCTCTTGGACATGAAGGATTCTCCCGGCTTTTCTTTTGTCGCCCCGTTTGATAAGTCGCCTGAGTCGCCATCAAACCTCGAAGTGACTGAGAAGGGTAGTCCCAATCATAGGTGTGGATAATCGATTCTTCGGGTTGGGACAGCCGCCTGTTAGTACCACTCACCGGCTAGAAAGCCCGGCGGATCTTCGACGGATTTGTGCCAGGGCGAAGCCCTTGCGGCGCTGCGCGCCTCTGCAGGGGGGCCCAGGTGTGCATTTGCCTATAGGGTGAGAAAAAGCACAGGGCTCCAGGTGGGAGTAAGGATGATGTTGACCCTGCAATGTTGGTAGGTTGTTCCACAGAAATGGCAAACATTCAAACAAAGAATTGTACACCCTTTACACATCCCATATTTTCCCTCATGATTAACCTCTCCACGCTCTTTCTACTCCATAGAAACCACAAGGGCGTCACCCACTCTCGGGGCGGGGAGGTTGGGTACTGAATCTACCATTATCAGCTGACCAAGAGACTTCGTTAAAGCAGAATTTAGATTATCCTACTAAAACAGCCAACCTACATTTTGGTCTCCTGGCTCTCGTCACTGGCCTGGTGTCATGCAATCGAGGCCCCAATCAAATTCTGGACGCCATGGTGACTCCCGGTTGATTCGTGCGCCCTTGGTTCATGGATAGGGCGTCTAAAAGTCGAAAAGCAGGGTCCTGTCCTTCTTTTGGTGGAGGCACTCGCTATCAAAAAGGCCGGATAAGCTGACGTGAGATCCTCAACACTTCCCTCTAAAATGTTGTTTGAAAATGAACCCCCCGTCAAGTAATCTTGAAGCTCCTCATAATGGTTGGCTGGGCCGCGTTCTGCTCGCTTGGAGGGCTACTACCGAAGGTCATGAAGGCTCACGCGGGGTGCGGAATGAAATTGTCAGGCTTCTGTATGTGTTCAGCGCGGCCCACACACACACACACACAAACAACAACCCACTGCAAAATGAATTTGGCAGGATTCTCATGCGTGCTCCTGGACTAGATTGAAAGGCCTCATCACAACAACAGCCAGGAACAACTCCAGACACACCACGGGCTGGCGGCGAAGTGGGGGCAGTGGTGGAGGAGCATGTAGCTTTGAGCTTCCCAATGGTTCCATTCCGCAGAGAGGCAGCGCAAGCCTGTCAGTTTCACTTCGGAAGCACACTCATGGTTCAAGGCCTTCAGAATAGAGCCATTCCTAGGAAAAATCAACGGACCGACTCCCATATTATGTCTAGAGACAGTTTTTTGTCACGAATGGCTGCATCAATCAGCAACTCGGAAAAAAGAACGATGATTGTCGTCTGCTCAAATACTTAGAAAATTTGGAAGGTGATCACCCTGACTCAAGCTACTTTGGCTTGACAACGGACATTATGCCCTTTCTGGCATGATTTATCAGCCTACCCAGCCCAGGTGCTGGTGGCGGTGACGATCAACTTTGTCAACGCCATAGTGACTTATTTCGAGGAGTAGATGTGAAGGGATAATCCTTTGTCCCCCCCCGGCGTTTGCTGGGAGAATAGGTGGCAGTTCACTTGATGCTAACAGATCGTCGTTCGACAATCCACGCTTCCTGTACAACAAAGATAGGGACTTTGCATCATTTCAAGGAAGCACGCGTGGGTTACCGTTTTTTTTGGGTCTCCCGGATTTTGAGACGCACCCTTGTAGCGCTGAAGAGATCAGTCCTCGTGCGTTGCCGGACGCATTAGGGGCTGAGTCCGACAAATCGGTCACTACCTCACTGGATGCGCCCAAGAAAGCACCATTGTTTCGATTTATTTCGCTGGGCGAAAATGACTTAGACAAAGAGCAGCCCAAAATTGGTTGATTGAACAGGCATTCACTCATGTTTTAAGCTTTCGCAGGCAGAACCCGTTTCTCTGGTCGGAGAGCACAAGTTGGTGAAAGGTCTCTTAGGGGTTCGGTCCTCCATTGTCTATGACTCACAACATTTCCCACAAAAACTCATTCCTACAAAACCCTGGTGCTTGTTGCGTGCTGTTGCGTGGTTCATTTGAGTAGCGCTGCCTGGAGTTGATGCCCTGGTAATAACAAGTGGCAATGGCTTATATGATGGCCTCTGACAAGCTGGAATACTCAAAATGAGCTGCGGCTTGATATCCCTTTAAAGGATGGTTTTGGCGCAGTTGTAAGGAGTGTGCCCATTTTATGGCACGCGTACCTGGGCGAGCTTGCAGCGAAGTATTCAGTGCAGAGCCCTTGTTCCAGGTTTCGGAATTGCGGTAAGACATGCGGAAGCTGGTTCGCTGCAGTATCACAGAAACAGTCATGTATCACCAACCATGCTGAATGGGAGACAGGCACCATGACAGCATTTGGAGGGCCCCCAGTGTGTTAGACACACAAGACCTGCTGTTCAGCGCCTGGAGTCAACGGGTATGAGAGGGCTAAAACAGGATTGGCCGAGGGCTCACAGTTCCAGTTTTGGGTTTGGTTTGCCAACTTCCTTTGCATAACACACGCACTCCAGCATTTTTGGGGGCTAGTTGGCATAGGAGTCTCCCCCAAACTCGGTGGCTTCCTTTTGAACTTCCCCGTGAACGGGGCACCGTTGCCGATTCGAGTCGCTATAGGAGAAGAGCGCCGAGGGCTCGAACGCCGATGCCCTGGGCTGGGCCCTGAAGGCGGATGGCTGGGTGCGGTGGATGGCTGCGAAAGCCATTTTGGATGTCACTGCCTGGGTGAAGCCGTGGCGACACCAAGATGAGAGCATGGCGGAACCGACATGAAACCATAGTGAAACCAACATGAAACCATGGTGAAACCAACATGAAACCATGGCGACACCACTTGTTGATTGATATTTTGGATTTCACCACCTGAGAAACCATTTGTTTGTTGGTACTTGCGTCGGGGAGTCGAATCAGATCAGTCGGTTTCTGAACTGTGCGAAACGGGTTTCGTTGGCGGGTGGGATCCATTTTTTTTTTTGCAAGTTGCAAGGTATCAGCTTCGCTGGTTTGGATTGGGGATTCGAACCCCACCAAACCAAGGGGGAAGGTGAAGATAGACCTCGCAGGTTGATTTCCCCAGCGAAAACCACCCAGTTTTGGTCTACCAGTCAAAGCAACGGGGACGGGGCTCTGGAGGCTTGGAATATGGGGGCTGAACAATTCTTACCACTGTTATGATGACTTCATTTGGCTTTCTGTCCCCAACCTTATCCCACTCATTCAGGCCCTGGACATTCACTTGATGTCAGTCGCGATTTGAGCGACTTCCCTCAAAGTGTTTGCAACTGGAACATCCACTGTTACCAGCGGCTGCCTGTTGCCAACTATTTCGAGCATCGTTCCACATTTTGTTTGACCAAAGCTGTCTTGACACTATTTGGGTCAGCTGGGTCAGCTGATCCACGAAAAGAGGGAACACGACAGTGCATCTAGTGCGCTCTGGTTACACACACACACACACACAGATGGTGGGGGTGGTGGGGGGGGTGGGGGGGACATTTTTCGTTTGGTCATAGAGAGTAACCCTTCCGAGGTTCGGAGCAGAGCAGATTTGGGCAACCTGCGTGGTCTTAAGAGTTCCATATCGGTTGCAGAGGGGGGGGGGTAGAGGAGTAGAGGTTGCCCCACAAAGGGCGGTATTTTCATTGTTGGGTTTGGGCCTGGCAGGTTTCAAATGCTGATTTGGAGGCAACATAAATGATGGGAAGGGCATAGCCCCGAAAGTTTTTTTCTTACCCCCAATACCCTGGCCGGCCAAACCGTTTTGGCTGAGACACGGTTGGTTTTCATCCCTCACTTCAAGTTTTCCCAGAGTGGCCTTAGAACATGCCGGGCGTCTGAACTCGTTGGACCATTGGAGGGAAAGACGCGCGCGGATTCGGAAAGGAGCTCTGGGCAGCCGTTCGCTGGCGCGCAGGGGTTTGGCTCTAGGGTCGAGACCCAGTCGAGACCGGACGCAGGAATCCAAGCGGAAAAGTCATGGAATGTTTTCAAATATGGCCATGGGTTGCATAACCTATGGCAATCCCATTTTGGGGTGGAACGTCCATTTTCCATCTATTTTGATGTTCACCAGTTTGTGGGTTTTGACCCACAGCCATACGAGGGAGAAATTAGGAGGGGGCCTAGCGATAGATCCCGCCGGCAAGCAGAGAGCGGGCCCTCCATTCCACTGAGCCCATGGCCGGTGAGTCAAGGCTTCGGAGATCCCCAGCATTTTTTGGTCTTCAGGCGTCAAAGGGTTCTAAGCAAACGAAGCTCCAAAGACTTGGAGGGTTCCCTAGTTTTTTTTTTTGCCTGTTTGATTGCATGTAACCCAGCGACCTTCAGGGGATCTGAACACGGACAGCCCAGAAAACGAACCCAAGAAAGAGTCAGAGTGACACGTCGCAGCTCCAGCCGCCCGCCAGCCGGCGCCGGAAAGGCGCCGGGCACTAATCTCTTGCCGCGCAGCATGGAGGGATGCGGGGAGAGAAGGCGCCGCGAGAGCTCCAAAGTGGATGTGTGCCTCGTTTGGGTTTCAACCCCCAATCAAAAGAACGGTTCAGCCAATTAGGATGAAATTCCTTAAGGTATAAAATGGTGGTTATAGTAACCCCCCTTTGTTTGAATGGCGGTTTGAACCCGAAAGTCTTGAAGCCACCTTTATTGGAAACAACCCCCAAGACGGAAGTACAACAAAGGCCGGCCTTCTCTGAAAAGGACGAACCCGGATTTTCCATCGAAACCTGAAAATGCAGATTTCCCTTTTAGCCGACCAAAAGGAGTTCCCAAAAAAAGAGACACCCTGCATTTGTTGCCCGGTGAAGCAAGCAGAGACCCAAGAAAAGCTAGGCTGAGCTGGCAGGTTGCATGTTGGATCCGTGCGTATGCATCAACTCCCCACTGGTGCAAAAAAACATTCGCTCCGGGCGGAGGGTACTCTTTTCGGGATGGTTTCAAAGGCAAGGCAACAGAGGAATACCACACGATTTGGCGCACCAAACCCTTCCCCCTATCCAAACCAAGCATCCAAGTCAACCCCTATCCAACCGCTATCTAAAGAGTGTTTCTGGGGCCTGGGTTTTTGAGCCATGAAATGTATTCCCCTACAAATTTACATGACCCATGTTGAACTGCAGGTCCTGAGTACTCCCTTAAAATGGCTTCGCTGCCAGTTAAGTTCCATCCAAACCCCACTATCCAACAAATTGGTAGTGTCTTTTTTTAGGGACCCCCCAGAATGGGGTGGCTTTCCTTTTACCAACTCCAAAAAGAACAAGCCCCCCGTCTGCGAATTTGAGCCCTTTGCTTGGGCTCGGGATCATGGTCATCCACCTAGTAGCAAGGATCCTCAATAGCAATTACAATGATTCCTAAGGGATCGACCATGGCGCATAAGCAGTCTTGACCATCACCCACCCCCAAAAAATGGGGGTGGCAACCACCCCCGCATTTTGGGGTTTCCCTTCAAAACTAACCCAAAAGGCAGGAGTACCGAGGTTCCAAAAAGAAAATGGCGCCCCGCCCGGAGCCCACGCCCCGCCCCTTCCCTTCGCAGGTGCCGCGGGAGCTTTTGGAAGGCTCCCAGGCGATCGCCGGCCATGCGCGGCGCACGCAGTGGCGCCAGGGCCTGTGCCTGCTGGACCCGATGAGATCAGTTTTGGGGGGTTAGGTGGAAAAACCGCGTTGAGCAGAACCCCAGTGGGCGATGTTCTGTTTCGGTTTTCGTCATTTAGTTTGTGTTTTTTTGTTGTTGTTTGTTTTTTCTCCTTCAGTTTTTTTTTGGAAGAGCCGGCTTCTTTTCTTCTTCTGTTTTTTCTCTCGGTTAAATTGGGCTTTGCTTTTTTGTTGTTCTAAACTGGTTTGTTTTTCAGTTGGGTTGGTCTTTGTTTGGTTGTTTGGTTCTTTTCAACTGGTTTGGTTTTGCTTGCTTCCTTTCTTGCTTTCTTGCTTGCTTGCTTGCTTGCTTGCTTACTTGTTTCTTTTTTTGGGGCCTGCCTTTGAACTAGGGGTTCAAAAATAGCTTCGCAGAGACATGCGCAGCGGCCAATTGAGCTTTTAGATTCATTCCGTCTTGGTGGGGGACTCTCTGTTTTGCTTGGTGTTGAGAGGCAAACCAAAAGAAAGCCAACAATGTCCGAGGTTCAATTCCTGTTTGACAGGCAGATTGGTTTTTGCATCCAACATTATTTTGGGAACCTTTGGCAAAACCGAAAAGTTCAGGAGGTTCGTTTCCCCGCTTGGTGGGTTTTGAGTTTCCTTTTGGTGAGGTGATGTTTGTAAACTTGAAGATTGTGGAGGGCTATGGCGTACGCGGGGGGTTGCAGGTTCAAGTCCTGCTAGCCCTATGCCGCGTGATAATTGGGAGCGATCCACTCCGTGGCATGCACACATTTCTAACTGTCAACTCTTTGGGGTCGGGTCTGGCCTCATCGTTGGTATGTGTCGGTTTTTGAATGTGCCCCTTTCCAAAATGGGGGCGGCTTAACCAAAGAGAAACCAAGGGCAAACCCAAGGAAAACCCAAGGCACCTCAAACGAACACCCGACAAAACCCGACAACAATTAACAAAACAACACCCAACCCCCCCCTTCTTTTTTGGGGGGGGAGGGTCCAAAAAAAGCCGAGCTGTGCGACAGGAGACTTTGGAGCTCCAGACGCTGCGGCCGGACCAGGTGGCGAGGAGCGCCGCCATGGCCGGGTGCTCCCGGGGCGCCGCCTGGGGCCGCTCGACTGGGGGCTCGAGGGCGGGGGGACCCGGATGGCTCGTTTTGGTTGGAACGTGCTCGGTTTGGTTTTGAGGCTAGGTGCCAGCTTTTACCGTTTTTCTTTTTTTGTGGAGGGTTCCCCTACTAAAACAGAGTGCAGCAAAAAGGGTACCCTTATTCTAACCTCTCTACTGGAGGACCAAGTGTTGGAACCCATGCTTTTAGGCGGCGGTGAAGTGAAAAAATAAAAGGAAACTGGAAGGAGAGCCAAAACGAAGACAAGGAAGAAAGCCAAAAGGAAGACCAGAAAGAAAGCCAAAAAGAAGACCAAAAGGACACCAGCAAAAGGAACAAACAAAAATTGGAAATCAAAAGGAAGAGCCGCCATTGTGGGGGGTCCATAAAAAAAAAGAACAAACAAGAAACAAAAAACATACTCCCAATATTGGTTCGGGGATTCCAAACCTGTTTGGATAGGGTGCAGATTGGGGTGATATAGATACAGTAGGGTTCCTGTAGCTTGGATAGTGCTATAGATTGGGTTTGGTTTGGATAGGGTTTGGATAGTTTGTTTTGGATGCTTGGTAGCAGGCACTCACCAGATTCTGCCTTGCAGATAAGGCTCAGTCTGGGGAAGGTGGGTTGGGTAAACCCACGCAGTTCGCCAAGCAAGAACCACACCAATCCAGGGATCCCAAAGGCCACCGATCCCTTTTTTGGGGATCAGGATCTTTTGGGGATCGTTGCAACTTCCTGGCAGCATGAGACCAAAGGTCCCGACTTTCGAGAAACCACCACTCGCAACTGCCCAAGAAGACATGGGGGGCAAGCTGTCGTGGCGGATTTTTGGGTACTCTGCCACCTGTAAAAAGAACCAAACGGGGCGCTTGAAGCCCGAGTCGATTGTAAACAAGTGGCCTCTTGCAAGACGGGCGAGAATGCAAATGCCGAAAGTCAGCATTTGCAACCCGACTCGTGTTGCGGGAGCCGCAATCAAGAACTCGGAAATCGGATTGGGACATGCCCAACGCGTCTTCGGGGGACACGGGGGTTCAAATATTCAGGTGGTAGGACAACGGGGGACTCGCCAAAAAGTGGACTTGCACATTTCCCGTGTCCTCGATGGAAACTGATCTTTTTTGGACTGTGGCCCATTTGATTCGTGTTCGGATTCATGATTCCCTTTGCAAGAGGTGCTGTGCCAGAGACTGCAAATTAGACTCGTATTGGGGCATCCTTATACAATCCCCTTTGCAGTGGGTTGTGGTGACTTCAGTGGCTGTGCTGTGAAACATGAATGTTGGACATAACTCCCCATGGTAAGTGACATCGGTCAAAGGGTTCCCAATTATTTGGCACCCAGGTTTCATCACGAAAGCACCTGCGAGGCTATGCTCCTCTGCTGCTGAGCTTTCTCTGGCGCGACGGGGTGGAGGCATTGTTTTCAACGAGCTTCGGCGGAGGCAGAGGCATTTCAACACAACGTGTCCGTTTTTTTTCTTTTTCCCCCGTTGCTTTTGTGAGTATTCAAAGGTATGTGTCCTTTTGGTATCTCCAACTATAACCTTATGGCTTACAGTTTGCGATGTTGAAAGTAGGAATATGCTCCACAAACACAGAGGTTGCAGCGTGCTATATATTTTCTTTACATTACAACACACTACCTTTTGCAATGTCACGGTGGGTGGAACCTTGTATTCCCAAAAATACTGATTCGGAGCCGCTTTTCAGGGTAATCGAGGCAGGGCTGTGGCAATTCTTTCCGGGAAGCACCTAAGTGCCAGGTGGACATCAAGAGTTACAGCGCCGTTTTCATCGGCATCACCGGGGCGGCGCTCTGGGGTTACGGCCTGCACCTGCTGGAGGAGTTACGTAGCGACGAAATGTCTGGTTCTTTTCGTGTTTTGGGCGAGTTGCCAGACAGTTTTCTTGATTGCAATCGAGTTGGATCGTTAGACTTTGACTTTTTGGGACATCCAGGGATTTCCCATTCATCTTTTAAACTTTTTGCAGAGAGGTCAACAGCAACCAAGGTTTTTGTCGCAGGACTTGTCAAAGGGTGGGTGGTTTTTCCGAAGACCCCGACGCCTGCCACTTGCCAGGAGCTCCGGTGGCGCGCGCGGGGCGAGGACATCGTGGCGGTGAACAGCGGCGAGCCTCACAAGTGGGGTCAGATCCGACGTCCTTCTCGGTTGTTGTTGGGAGACATTTTTCCCCTCTTTGATCTTATTCTGGTTTAGTGGTTGAAATCCAACCACTTGGCTGCTAACACTTAATCTGTTTTGCTCCCCTTTCAACGTCAGCCTGTCAGGTTCCCTTTTTTGCGGAAGGGAACCCTCCCCCCGGAGGTGGATCCACGTTGAGCCAGGCACTGGGAGATACGTCGTTATTTTCTGGTAAGCGGGAACGAAGCGGCATTCATTTGCACGTATGCGCCTAGGTTTGTAGTTAAGCTCGCATGTATCTTATCTACAATAGTTACGCACAGGTCTTGGTGCGCTTTGAATGTTGCAACTGCTGCGTAGTAGCTTCCTTACAGGCACGCAAAAAGCACAGACACAACAACCAAACATCCACAAAGAACAAAAGACAATAAGCAGCAGAAGCAATAGATCCCAACCATGACTGAGTATTCTTGTTTGGTTTGCGGTTCATCTGTTTTGTTGGAAGCACATGGTGCTCAGCATTTGCCTGAATCACACAAAAGCCTACACACCCCGACATGGCTAGGATGTGGTTTTTGCTCTTTTATTCTTCTTCTTTGAGTTTGGTGGTCACATTTACCAGATGCATTTGCGGAGGCTATTCTGAGGGCAGCGGACATGTTGTCACGGTATGTAACGGCAATCCTGTTGTCAATCCTCAGGCTACAAGAGTGGAGGAGCAAGGAGGTAGTTGAAGCGGCGGTTCGGGGTTAGATGAAGCACAGCACTTGCTCAACATGACGCAACAATTGAAGAGGTCTAGCTTGCGCTTGACTTAGCTCACGTCTAGAGAGCTTCGCGCGTGTCCAACTTGATTGGTCTTTGTCTTTAAAAATTCGGATATGTTGTGTGGGGCTGGCCAGTGTGGGGTAGAGACCATTGCCGATTCCAAACCCCATTGTCCCCTTTTCAACCCCAACATGGCTCCAGATGTTTCCCTTTAACACAATTCAAAAAGGGGCACCCTCAAAGAAACGCCTCAAAATGAAGAGCTACGATTAGGTGCGACTTTGGGGATTCCATTTTTTGCGCAGCCATATCCCGTCGTCCTGTGTCTTTTTCTAGGGGACCCCCCCAAAGTGGCTTACGGTTTTCCTGTTGGCTTCCCTCTAAACCAAAAGACAAAGCAAAACCCCCAAAATAGCTTCGGTTTTCCTTGTGGTCTCCCTTTCGACCGACAACCCCAAAAGGGGTACCAACTCCAAAAAAGGAATCGAGCCACCCATGGCCGTGGGTCAAAACCAATGGTACCATTTTGGGGTAGGTGAATTCACCACCCATTTTAGAACCTATTTAAGTGGTTGGATTGAACCGGATGTTCACTGGTTTGGTTTTGACCCCATGGCCATATGTGTACCCTCGGTGGGGGCGTTGGTGCGACCGTTCACTTAGGGGGAACCATCATTCCAGGGTTTCTTAGGTGGGTGGTGCCTAAGAGGAGTCCGCAACCAACCACCGTGTCTCCGAAAGCGCCGCACACGTCCCTCCCCGCGCCTGACGCGCTGACGCGCGCCTAGCGCGCGCGCCTCGCGCGCGCGGTAGGCGGTCTCAGCAGCTTCGAGAAGGCGGGGCACTGGTGGGGGGCGCTGGCGCTGCTGGATGGCGTGGGGCCGTTGAGGCGGGGCGTGTGGTCGTGTCGTCATGTCGTGTCGTTGGGTTGCTTTCTTTTTTTGCCCGTGGCCCACCGGGTTGCCTTTTTCGGCTGTGGGTCAACAATAGGGTTACCCTAGGATAGGCTGCATATATATATATATATATATTGGGAACTGGGTGGGTGTAAAATAGGGTAACTCCAGAATGGTAAATGGAACCCTGCGGGCTAAAACCTGCGGTCCATATCCTGGTGGTTTAAGTTTCACCCATAGCCTTTTGGTTTTAAAAGGACAAGAGGCAACCACTCATTTGGGGGTCCCTCAACTCGGCCTCGGTTGATTGGGGACATGTCATTTCCTGAGGGGGTGTCCATTTTTGTTCGTTTGTGCGCCTTGTGCCATTTGGCGCCTCACTTCGGCTGGAAGGCTTTTTGAAAGTCTCGGGGTTATGGCACCACCTGTGTCGAACGAGTGAAGCGAGTGAGAGATGGGAATCGAGGGTTGGGTCTCTTTCCTCCAACCGTTTCTCCGTCCATACTCCATTGCCAGATAGGAACATGAGGAAGAGAAAGAGAGCCCAGTCCATCGCATCTTACCTTGTCACACCTGTCACTCATAGACCATGAAGGATGGACTGGGAGTAGACAATGCCGGCTCTGGCCCCGTCTCAGCCTATAATGATGGGTCAACGAACCGGGCAAAGAGAGCGACACCCAAGTCCCAATCAACCCAATAGTAGCTACTGGATTGGGTCTTGGCACTCTCACTCACCATCTTCCCTCCAACCCGAAAGCCTGTCTGACTAGCCAAAAGGGGGGGGCTCTGCAAGGCCGCCGCCTGAGAGGTTCTGCATTCTGCCCCCGCTCAGGGAACTTTCTTGGACCGGTTCAATGATCAAGACAAGTCCGCTTCCAAATCGCCAGGCTGCAGCCGGACCTGGTGAGCTTCAATGTGCCTGGGACTGCGTGGAGTGGGAGGGTGTGGGAGGCCCTCCCCCGAAAACGAGCGAATTTGGAGAACTTCCGAACCTGTCTGCCCGAGGCGCATTTGGGTTTCCTTCAGTGGTCCTTTGCCCCAGGAGCAAATGGATGGGAACTTTTGGCAATGTTGGATCCGTGCTGAAGAAAGGTGAAGCCCGATCCCAAACGCGAGTTGGCCGAATGCTCAGGGGCTCCACCATTGAGGGCTCCGAAACATTGTTGAGGCTTGGTAAAGGATCGGTCTTGGGCAAGGTTTGGGGTTGTGTTCGTCTTCATATGGATGTGTCATTTTTGAGGGGGCCCCCCAAACTGGTCTGTTTCCTCGTGGTTTTTAAAGGGACACCACCAAAAAAGGATAACAAGCAAAAGCAAAACAGGGCAGCCCCGTATACCTTGAACACGTGCATCTTGAGCTCCTCTGGCCCCAGGTTTTTGGCGCAAAGGAGGACCCCGTTTTTTCAACCACAAGCCGGTTTTTCGACCTCCATTTTACCTTGCAGGTTTTTGGGATCCCCAAAAAACCGGTGGGGGGGGCCCGGTTGCCCCTTGGCGGAAATCGCTCGCATCGGTTTCCGCCGGCTTTGAGGCGGCGGCCAGCGCCTGCGAGAAGGGCGGGCAGTGGCTGCTGGCGATGCAGCTGCTGCGCGCTGCCAAGGCCAGGGGAAGCGGTGGGGTGAATTTGGGTGGGGGTGGGGTGGGGTGGGGTGGGTGAGGGCCGTTTTTTTTTTTTTAAAGTCAAATGTAGAGCCCATGGTATGAGACGTAGCAGATGGGTTCAGGCGCCGTTGTTTGGACTGGAGTCAGGACGCTCAGCTCCAGCCGGACGTGGTGTCCCTGGCTGCCTGCATCAGCGCGGCGGAGCGGGGCAGAGGGGTCCGGCTCTGTTTGTCCTTTTTTTTGGTCGGTGCAAGCCTTTCTTGGGTGGCTTAAACTCCACAAGTTGGGTCCCCGCCGTCCTCCCTCTAAAAGTGGGTTTCCGTTTTTTAGGGGATTTTTTCCGCGGTCTTTGAACCAAGAGCAAGCCGCGTGGACAGTTCAAGATGTATCAGCCGCGCGTGCAGTGCAGTCAGCGACCATCCGCTCGGCCCATTCACTGTGGCTGAGACTCGTGGATGAACTTCCACATCATAAAGTCACGCCTCAAAGACGACTTCTGGACAATTCACTAGTTGCTGCTAGTTCTCCAGCAGTCCGTGTTGTTTTCAGGGTACCCCTTCTTTTGTGGTTTTGGAAAGCCAAAAGGAACACCGTTGCGCTATTTTGTGGGGTCCAAACAGTTAAAACAAAAACCAAGCATAGAAGACAGCCAAAAAACAACTATTGTAGGACTCCCTTTGTCTTCTTGAAACCACAATTATGGGTGTGTCTGTTTTTAGGTGGACCGGGCGGTTTACCTTTTTCCTTTCAAAACCTAAACAAGGGGGGGGGTACCAAATTTAAAAGAAGGAACTGCGCCACCCATATTTGGCTTCAATCAAAAATCCAAGTGTTTGGGGGACCCCTCCTTTTTTTCGTGTCTCTTTATTTTTTTTAACCGTAGGAGAAGTGCGGGCGCTGGGCTCCGGCCCTGGCGCTGCTGGGCGCGCTGCGCGACGCGGAGCTGGAGACCTCTGTGGTGGCCCACAACGCGGCGGGGACGCCCAAGCGAGCCATGGGTCCACTTTTTTTTTTCTTCTTCTTCCTTTTATATAAATTTTATTTTCATTTTCGTTTTTTAATTGCCCCCGAAATAATCTTCGCAGCGTTTAGTTTTTCTTCTTCTCCTTCTCAGAGTGTCTTATTCATAGCAGTATTGTTATTCTTGTTTGGATGATTGTTATTTGTTATCATCATGATGATTAGGAAAGGCGTGGTCTTTTCATTTAAGACATTTAAGACGTAGCTAGATCGGACGCCACAACTTTATTCTGATTCCGGAGGCCCTCATAGATGAATCTGCCTTCTTTTGAGACGTTTTGCTCGGTCTCTCAGTCTCTCAGTCTCTCAGTCTCTCAACTTAGTCTCTCAAACCAAACCCAAAGAAAACAAGCAAATACAAGGTCAGTCAGAGCAAACCAAGCAAACAAAAAGCACACACACACACACAAAACACAACAAAACAAAGCAGACGCACAACAAAACCAAACAAAGCAGACGCAAAACAAAACCAAACAAAGCAGACGCAAAACAGAGGAAAACCCCCGAACGCGCGGAGACGGGCGGAGGCCTCCAGCGCCTGCGAGAAGGGCCACGTGTGGCCTTCGGCCTTGGCGGTGCTGTCGGCGCTGCAGCGGACCTGCCAGGAGTGGGGGTGGGGGGTGGGGGGTTGGGTGGGGTGGGGTGGGGTGGGGTGGGGTGGGGTGGGGTGGGGTGGGGTGGGGTGGGGTGGGGTGGGGTGGGGTGGGGTGGGGTGGGGTGGGGTGGGGTGGGGTGGGGTGGGTGGGGTGGGGTGGGGTGGTTGAGTGGGTGTGTTTTCAAGTGGTTTTCTGGGTCTCATTGGACTTTGGGTGGTTTCGAGTTCCTTTGGAGTGTTTAAGGATGTTACTTGAAGAGACACCTGGAAGAGGTCGATGGGCGGATGCGGGGTGGCTGTCCCCTGCGTCAGCCACCCTGCTGGACCCGAGCAAGCCCAAGATCAATCGTTTCGCCTCGGTCTCCCGGAGGGTGTCTCCTAAAATGGTTGGATCGGTCACCTGTTTGGATGAGAAGGGAAGCTAAAAGGACACCGAGCACCTGAAGAAATCGGTCCCTTTGCATGATTTCAAGGGGGAAAGGACACCAAAAACCTGAAGGAATCCCGATTATTTTGAGAGGCACCCATGTTTGCTGCTTTGGGGCAGACGAAAAATCTCACCTTACCCCAACACTTGCTGGTGCTCAGCAGGGAATGAGAAATGGAATGTCCCTCACATAAGCATCCAACTGGTGGTTTCCTTCATTCCGGAGTCCCATTTCCCGATCGCAAGAGAAGTGGTTGATTTGAATCCCGAACATTTTGAGAAACAGCCATGATTTATGCTTCAGACGAGACATTCTCACCTTACCTCCAAAATCTCACCATATCTGTTTTCCCTGGTTGATTTCTTGTCGTGACCCAGGTTCATTCCGTCTTTTCCTACTGGTAGGTCTGTCCTTTCCCAGGTTCATGAATTTCTGTCTTTTTCATTTCCACATCTTGTCTTTCCCTCTTTTGAGAAACACCCCACGATATCTTTTGCTGGGCAGACGAAGAACATTCTCACCTTACCCCAACACTTGCTGGTGCTCAGCAGGGAATCACAAAAACCCATCCAACTGGTGGTTTCCTTCATTCAGGAATCTCCTTCCGGTTCATTCCATTTCTCCTTCCCTATTGATTTCGCCCCGATCGCAAGAGAAGAGAAGAGGTTTGGTTTAAATCCCGAAGATTATGGAAGAAACACCCATGATTTAGCCCTAGACGAACCCCAAACCCCACCACACCTGTTATTCCCTGGTTGATTTATGCTTTGGACGAAAAAGGGCGCAGCCATTTTTCCATTTCTCCTTCCCTACATTTTTTTTCCCCCAATAAGTTCCCTACAAAACCCTCTTCCCACGTTCGCGAAACAAGCTTCTCACCTTACCCCCGAAAATCTCACCATATCTGTTTTTCCCTGGTTGAATCCCCAAAACGACGGATTTTTTTTTGACTTTTCACCGAACAAAGCACCCCACAACGACGGATCAGATTTTTCCGCCGAGCGAAGGAGCAGTCGGTGGTCTCCTTTGCCGCAGCCTGCAGCGCCTGCGAGAAGCGCCGCCGCTGGGACCTGGCGCTGCTGCTGCAGACCGCCCTCCAGGCCGCGGCGCGCGTTCCCCGGGCTCAGCGGACGCCGAGTCCGATGCCTGCGTTGTTTTTTGGTTTTTTGGGAAGGGGAGGGAAGGGAGATGTTTTTCAAGATTTGTTTGTTTGTGCTTCTTGTTTCTTTTTGGGGAAGAGGGTGGGGGAAGGGGGAGAGATGTTTTTCAGGGGTTGCTTATTTGTTCGTCTCGTTTTTTGTGGTGGTGAGCTTTTTGGGAAAGGGTCGTGTTTTAGAGCAAATTTGATCCAGACAGCTCTTTTGGGGGCATGTTTTTCCCCAACAACTAACAACTTTAGGGTCTCAGCCCAGATAGGCTCCCCGGTGGTCCGGGGCGGCCCTGAGGTAAGGTTCTACGAGGGTTCCACCAGGGTTCCACCAGGTTCCACGAGGGTTCCACAAGGGTTCCACGAGGGTTCCACGAGGTTCTGCGAGGGCTGCGGGGTGCCGCATGCTGTTGGGGATATCACCTGAGCTTCTTTTTTTCAGGATTGGTTTGTTTGTTTGTTTTTTTGGGTGGTGCTTTTGTTTTTGTGGCTTTTTGCGGCTTTTGTGGCTTTGGCTTTCCACATCCTCAGCATCACCATCAACACCCCAACACCAGCAACTGTCTTGTTTCCGAGTGGCAGTTTTAAGGCAGTGTTGTGCGACTTTTGCTTTTGAGTATTGCACCCTTTCCAAAATGCCGTAATTTTGGACCTGCTGCTAGGTGGGTTTCTATTGACTTCAACTTTGTCTGTAGCTCCCTATTCTCCATTCGTGTGATTTGTGTTGGTACAGGGTGGGGGCTTCTTTGTAGGACCGTTGTTCGGCTTTGGATGGCCTTAAAAGGAAAAGCCGAATCCCAACCATCAGCGAACACTCAAGAAATCCAAAGCCAGCCCTGATACAACCTTTCTCGGCTTGTTGCGTTGACATAAACCCAGCCGAATCCAACCCTAAACCACAACTAAACCACCGCAAAACCAAAACCAAACCTAAACCGACCCCAAAGAAGTCTTCTAAACAAGGCAAACCACGCTCACCCTGAACCCGCCTCAGCCTCCCCTAAACCTTAAGCCAACCACACCAACCCTAAACGAACCAACAATGTTCCAACCGGAAACCCACCGAAACCAAACTGCACAACACCATCCCTAAACCATCCGAAACCTACCCGAGCGAAGCCAACAATAAACCGATCCCAAACCCACCCAACACCTATACGAACCCAAACCCCCCTCCAGCCCGAAAGCCCACCCTGCTGCCTAATCCAACTTGAAACCAACCGAAAGAGCACCCTGTTGGTGATGCTGGGTACGTAACTGATGATGCTGAAAATGTTAAAAATGCTGGTGTAAAACGCGTGCATTTGATGAGAATGCCCAGAACCAAATCCCGAACAAGAAGCCAAATCTCAGTCCTTTGGCAACTCCAAAACGGTTTTTTCGAGGGCTTTTGGGTTTGTTTGGAGGTAATGGGAACGATGAAGCAGAACCTTCGGTTAATTTTGGTCACCTTCTAATGGGGGTGCATCACTTTGGGGTCTGCTTTGGGGGTGCTACCCTGAAATTGTTGTTTGCTTGTGGTTTACCTTTTGTTCGGGGTACTTTGTGAAGTGTTTCTTTGGGTTGCTTTGGGTTCCTTGAATCTGTAGTGAAAGCAACACATTGTCCCAAAACGAAGCCCCCCCCCATATGGGTGTTTTCTTGGATTGGTTTGGTTTGGAGTTTTGCAAGATTGCATAGACACCCTTTTGGTTGGTATTTGACAATGCCAAACATTTTAGCGTATCCTTATTTTGAGCAACGCTGTTTGGGTTTGTGCTTTTTGAGGGCACCCTTCTCACCTTGATTGAACACGAAGACCAGCGGGAAGCCATCCATTTTCAATTTGGAGGGGGCCAGTGGTGGACATCATGAAGCCATGGGGTTTTTGTCCATAGAGTTTCCAACCCTGAACATTCATCGCGTGGGCTCGTTTCGGATTTGGATTCATTTTCTTTGGCTTGGGTTTCCTGAAGCACAAACTTGGGATGGCTTTTTTCAGGTTCCCCCAACGGCGCAACATTCTGCTTTCCTTTTGGCTTCCCAATAAGAACCACCCGCCAAAATGGGTAACTCCAAAAGACTTGACCCGAGCCAGGGGTTCTTTTTGGTCGGCGTTCGCAGGCTTCGGGCCTGGAACCGAACCTGGTGCTGCGGGGCAGCCTGGTGAGCGCCTGTGAGAAGGACCAACAAAAGCCCAGTTCCCCCTTTTGCTTGAGACCAGGTGTTGGTGTTGATGCGATTTTAACATGAAACATCGCCACGCAACGCCGTGTTTTACGGTGTTCTCTGGCAAAACCAGGGCTTTGCAGCGCTACAGCTACTGCTTTTGGGGCACATGACTCGGCCCCCGCTGGGCTCCGGGGCGTCGCTGGGCGGTGGCTCCTCGGCATTTGATTTTTTTGTTTTTGCACGTTTGGGATGTCCAAAAAGTGGCAGTTTCCATGGACGCTGGGAAAAATTGATCAGCTCGTGAGTGGGGGGAAATTCGGTGACCTCTTTTGTGTTGTGGTTTTGCGCCTTCCCATTTGGCTGGTCTGGGGTTGCCCTGGTAGATGGAATCATGGACTAAATCCTACGGTCCACATCCTGGTTTACTTTTGACCCATACCCATCTGGTTTCAAAAGGTGGGGTTCAAAACCCCCAAGACCCCAAGACTTGGGGCTGGCTTTGAAGAGCCTTCTCATGTATCACCTGACACCAAATCACGTCGAAAAATAGAGGCCTGCAAAAAACGGTTACAGCTGTCCAACATGGATTTGGATGCATCCAGTTGGAGGTATCTAAAGTTCAAACGTCCTCAGTGTACAGTGTACGTGGTGTTCTAATGGTGGTTTCCCTGGAATTTCCACCAAATGGGAACCCAGGATTCAGCTGAACCCTGCTTTTTTTCATTGGGGGTGCACGGCTTCAAGAGCAGATCCATGTTGCCATGCCCATGTTTTTGATGGTTAAAAGGGAACACCATCTTGGGAAGACGAAGGGTTCGGTCGCTAGTCGGGACAAGCGCCTTTCGGGGTTTGAAGGGAAGTCCCAACTTTCCCCAACTTTTGGCAGGGCTCTTTGGAGCATTCCCTTGCTTGAGAGGTTTTGCCCCCGTCAGAGCCTGCGAATCCTGTCTCTGGCCAGACGCCACCGCGCTTCCGATGACCAAAACCGTTTGGGGGAACAACATCGTTTGGCTTGCTTTGGTTTCCTTGCGACGAAGCATCCTTGCCACGCCCTGAGCAAGCCTGACTTAGCTGTTTACAGGTAGAGCCTCTTTGAGATCTGGTTGGGCCGAGATCTCCTGGCTTGAAGCCTCTGACCGTCGAAAAGCACGCGAGCTGGATTCCCTCCGCGAGCTGAGTTGACCGTCAGCAAAGTCCGTTTTGGATTCCCTCCGTTTTGGTTCAGGGGACGCCGTGGGTTGAATTTGGATTCCCAACCCCGCGGTCGTCCGACAGTTCACTGACCTCATGGTTTCCTGGCTCCACCCGGCCCAAGCCTTTTTCCGCCGGCGGAAAAGCCACAAGTGCTTTGTTGAGCGCCCGCCCCCCGAACCCACCTAAGAGAACACCTGAGTCACAATCAACACCCGGGTAATTGGAGGGTAAGGGAGAATCTCAGCCATAAATGGTTGCTGCTGTTTCTTTAAACTCGTCACACTCTGGGCCGACATGTTTTCTTCTTTCTTAATGTGTCATTTGTTGTCCTTCTTTGACCGCACATACCTTTTGCCGTGGCCGTTTTTACCATTTAATGATTCTGACCTTGGAGGGAGGCTCGGGTTTTCTGAGCGGCAGGACTGGCGGTGGCAGGAGGCGCTCCACTTGCTGGAGGCCTTCGGAACAGAAGCGCCCTCATGGCCCGTGTTTTCTTTTTTCGCCTTTGGGGCCAATGTTGAGCTGGTTTGAAGGGAAGCCAAATGGGGAAGCCAATGGCAACAAAGTTTAAAGGGAAGCCTTTGAGCCAATGGTTTAAAGGGAAGCCAACTGGTAAAATGAGTTTGAATTGATGTATGGGGAAGCCAAAGGACACACATGTGGCCATTGGCGACAGACCCTTCACAAACCCGCCTCGCTGGTTGGTTCACTGGCTTTTCAGCTAGAAAGCTGCCCAATAGAAGGGGCTAAATAATTACTAGCAGTTCACTCCTATAATCATGACGAGTTTCGGTTTGAACCGACTCCATAACCCCATTCTTATCGTGCCGGCCTGTTTTTCGTAGAGAGGTTAATGACATGTCCTAAAGCTTCAACTTCCAACCTGACACAGCGACTCGTCCGACCGCGAGGCGTTTGGGCCCTGGCGCGTGAGCCCACAGGAGGTGGGCTTTGCAGCGGCCGCCGCTGGGCGGCAACCGGGTGGGGGAACCGCGGAAGCAGTGGCGCAAGAATCTGCCCATGTGGGTCGTCCAAAGGACATCTAGGGAATCGCAAATGTCATCTAGATGCGAGTAAGTACATCTATCACCATTGTGGGCAAATCTCCCATTCCACATGTACTTACCCACACAAAGGGACTGTGACATCTACTGACATGTTTTTGGCTTGCATTGAACACAAGCTTGATCGCTTAGTTGAACACGCCATTTTGACAAAATACTTTGATATCATTTTGCAACACACATCATACTTGACACCTTTTTTTTGACACCCTATTTTGACACCACTTTGCCACCTTGTTTGTGAAACGCTATTGCGGCCTTATTTTGACACCTGTTTTTGACGCCCCGTTTTGCAGCTAATTTCAACACCTTGTGACATGTTTGTTCTTTTCACCTCATTTTGAGACCGCCTTTTGATGCCCAATTTTTGACACTCCGTTTTGACACCATTCTGACACTATATTTTGTATTTTGACATCCCTGTCTTTTCGCGCCGACCGACAGGTGACCGTTGTTTTGTTTGCAGCATCATGTTGAGGCTAGGCATGTCCACGTCCAAGCCGCCGAAGTCACCAGGCCTCGAGGGCCATTCATGAACGTTGACCCACTTTGCTTAGATTCGCGCTTCGTCAGACATTGTGTAGTGGTCGCAAGAGCGGCTGCACCCCTTCCTTTGTTGTGGACCGATGAATCAAGATGGCCACTGCGTTTTGGAGCAGTGTCCTTGGTGTGGGTTCTACGAGCTTGCTGGGATTACTAGGTGATGCCGGTTGCAAAGGAAGATGTTGAGGAGGCCGGCTGGGACTCCGAATGTGAATTTGATTTGAAGTTTGCTCATTGTCAGCAAGAGACAGGCAAGCAGTTGCGGCACTTCGTCGTCTACCACAAAAAAATAAATAGGAAAAAATAAAAAATAAGGTTATGTTAAAGAGTAAAAAATGACAATATTGTTATGTTAAAGAAAATACAACACAAAAGCTATTGTTATGTTGAAGAACAATACGAAAATGGCACGCACAAACACTTTCGTGCGTGGAGGGGCGGCGTGCGCTTCACCTACGTTGCCATGACGATCACAACCGTCTTTGACGTAGGTTGTAAATATAAAAGTCAGCGGCCTTCCACTCTCTCGAGCTCCCCACAGTTTTGCGAGAGGGGCGGTGTGAAGAAACGTGGAGCCCTGCCTCAGCCTGGCCAAAATGTCGGACTTGCGCTGTAAACAAGAAAATCAACATGTGTGTTTCTGGGATACGCATGTCTAGCCGCTCATGGAAGCACAGTGTCTATATTGTGTACAGCCTTTATTGAATAATTGACGGTAAAAGCTGGTCGTCATCCCTTTATCAGCTATCTTTCTCATGTTTGTTGAGCTCCTTATCGCCTCGTATATCCTGTCTTTACTATACTCTCTGTACCTTTGGACTGGCAAGTAACACGTGAATTCAGGAAAGAAGGACAGTGGAAGAATAGCGGTTTCCAGACATAAAGTTAGCAGTTTCCAGACGGAAAGTGTTGGTAGCTCGGACTAGGAAACGAATCCCTAACTGCAGCTTGTTCTTCTTCTCATCTCTATATGTGTTTTTTCCTTCCAGATTGCCACGCAGTGTCATTGTGGATGCACACACGCACCATAGGGCATGATGTGTTGCGTTCCTCTGCCCAAGGCTGAGCCACGAGCAAGCGAGCGGCCCGAATTGCGTATGCGCTTGCTGGACCTTGCGCGCAGCGCGTCGTTCAACTTGATTTTTCTGCGCTCGCTGGCCGGGGCTGTTCACTTCTGGCAGCGTGCAGGTTTCGCGCAATCTTCACTGTGCGTCGCTTGCGACCTATTCTTACGGTTTCGTTTTTCAGCCATCCCAACTGCGTGGCCGTCGCCCCGTCGCCCACCCAGCGGACCAACCGAGACCAGCGCCTGCGAGAAGGCCAAGGAGTGGTGCCAGGCGCTGTGTCTGGCGCCTCGCTCGGGTGGGCCCGGCTTTGGGGCCCGGCGGTTTTTTGGGCAGGGCGTTACACACATAGTCAGAGGGTTTTTTTGAACAGGGTTTGGCAATTTTTCCAAAATTTCCAGATTTTTACGAGGGCCAGGGTCGCTTGGGAATATCGGTTGGTGTAACGTTTCTCTGAGGTTGGAGGTTTGAACTTTTGTTTGGCTGCAGGGACTTGACAGTTTTGACAGTGTGCGAGAGAAACTCTTGTTTGTTTTTGGTTTCTTGGCTTTTCGGAGAAAAAGCGACCAGATTCGAAGAAAACTTCAAGCTGCTCTTGGGGCCGTTCCTTTTGGTGATCTTTTGAAGGTTTTGAGGGAGGTCAAGGAAAGCTGCCCATAGTGTTTGTGCGGTTCTATTTTCATTTGCCCGGGAAATTGGAACATGCAGGCAGTGGTGGGGGAAGTTATTCTCAGGGCTGTCAGTTTTTCCTTCGACGCTTTTCCTGGCTGTAAATGGGGCTCGGGGCATCCAGGCTTGCCTTGGTCATTCCCTTGGAATGTTAGAACGGGCAGCTCCCAGCTGGAAATGGGCGAGCGTGACATGTGCCAAATGTGGGCACTGCGCGCGTATGTGCTTTTTGCATGAGGCCACGCACGAAGAAAAGAGAGCCAAGGGAAAACGCAGCAAACGCAGCAAGAGAAGACGCGGAAGACAGGGACTGAGACGAAGCGGGAGAAACAGAGAAGAGAACACAAGTAGAAAGACGAGAGAGAAACATTTAGGAGTGGAGGAAGGTAGACCAAGAAGATGCCAGCGAGAAATCAGATCGGATGCACAGGTTTTCTTGTAGCAGGGTTGCTCCAAACCTCAAACCTGTAAACAATCCACAAGGCTAGAAAGTAGGTTTAAGTTGCGCCCAGGGGCCAACCTTGTTTCGCCTGTCTCGGCCTGTGAACAAATGGGTTTGTCCTTTTCTTTTGCGAGGCTTGGCACCCAGATGAGGACACCGATCTGTTTGTTGGGTCCCCTGACCTCACTCGAGGTCATGCGCATGCACGCCTGCGGCTTCGAGCCGTACGTGTACAGCGTGAACGCTGCGCTGAGCTCTCTGGAGAAGGCCGAGCTGGTTGGGTTTGGTGTCCCTAACCAGCAATGGCACCCTTTGCTTCGGGGCTGGATGCCCTCTTAAACTGGAGCCCCCAAATCAAAACGTAGGGGTTGTTGATTTGGCACCATTAGGTCAGGTTTCGGCATCCTGGTCAGTTAGAGCCACATCTCACTCAAAATGACAGCATGTGCCATCCAAAGGAGATGTTCCAAGATGGAAAAATGCAACAGCCCGAGTGGCATTCGCCTCTTTTGCAATTTGAAGGGTAAATCCTACTGAAGGGGGGGGGGGGGCGAGAGTTAGCAACTGAAATCAAGTCTGGGTCATTGTTCAGTTTCTGCCACCTTCAGTTTAGAAAAGTCACAAGCGTTCACAGATCCTGGTGGGAGCTGCAGGGTTGACTGCGACACAAAGCCCTTTCGAGTCCTTGGAGCCAAATCCTTTCCCCCAACAACATTCCTTCTGATTGACCTGGAAAAGGCCCCCAAAGGAAATCCCCTAAATACCATGTTGGCTTGGCTTGGGGCTGGCCCAGTGAATCTGAGTGCAACTCCGTCGAGCGCTTTCAGCGCAGCGCAGCGGAGGCGGCGGAGTGGGCGCGGGCGCTGCAGCTGCTGTCTGCGCTGAGAAGTTGGCGCCTGGGGGCCACAGCCACCAGCTGCAGCGCGCTGGTCTCGGCCCCTCTTTCGCGAGCGAAGCAGATGTCATGGACGGCTTTCCACCTCAACGGGACTCCTTGGCATGACAAATGGCCCAAACACAAGCAGATGACTTGACCCACGGTAAGGATTGATCCTCACTACGTCTTGGGTGGTTACCCTTCAATTTATCTTCGAACACCACCTTAAAGGGTACCAGCTCTAATTGTGTGTGCTTTTTCGGAGTCACCCTTTGCAGTCACGGAACACCCCAAAACATTTTGGGGTTTTCCTTTAGTTCCCCAACCTTTGACGCATCCCCGATGCATTTTTTCATCTTTGAGGCCTGCGAGAAGGCGCGGCAGCTGGCGCCGGCGCTGGCGCTGCTGCGCGAGAGCCGGGAGAAGCCTAGGGAGCTGCCGAGCCCTGGGGCGGGGCTGGGGTGGGGGTGGGGTTCGGGTGGGTTGCACTGGTTGCGGGGTGTCCAGGGTGTGCGGAAGGGCCTTTTTAGGGCGTTGCTTCACATGAGATCATCGTTTGATCACTTTTTTGAACACGTCATTTTGACATTTCACATGTTTTGTTCAGTGAAAGTGTGCAAAACCGGCATTTGTCGGTGGTGGCAACAGTCGAGGCGTGAGGACAACCCTGGTTAGCAAGTGGTCCGTTACCCCACGGATTAATCAGTGGCCAACTCACTTCCGACACATCGAAGGCACACCACCAAACCTGCTTCTTGTCCGGGTTGGGGAAGGCGCAAAGCCATCCGCCAATTGCCGCCCTTGTCGGAGACTCCCCAGCGTCACTCTGTCACCCAAGTGGGTTGTGTGGCAACTTAAATATCAGGGTGATTTTTTAAAGCTGTGTTGGTCATCCAAGTGAGGGGAGGTTCAAACTCCTAGCAAAAGGGGTTGAACTTGTTCCGAGACCCCCTGTTGTTGTGTTTGTTTGGTCCCGTTCCCCGAACAACCACCATAGCTTGCGCTCAGAGCCATTACTTCTTTTCGAGTTTGGTGCTGCAGAGGGTGGGGGGTGGTGGGAAGGAGGGAGAGGGGTGTTGCTGTCAGGGATTTTAGGGTCAGAAGATTCGAAGGTTTGCATCATCCCAGACACACACACACAAACCTACATATTTTTATTTCTTTATATATGTATGTATGTATGTATATATATATATATATTCATATATATATATATATATTGCTGTGCAGCAGAACTTAGGCTAGAGCAAGAGTTTTTGAGAGCTTTTACCAACTTGTTTTCCGTTTTACCTTTGGGAGGTCATCGCCTACAACGCGGTGCTGGTGATTTGCCGTGCCTTGGGCGAGTGGCAGCTGGCGCTGTGGTTGCTCGCTACCTTGGCGCCTTGGTGAGGGCGACCCCCCCCCCCTTTCTGGACCGGTTGGGTGTGCCTGGTTTTTGAACGAATAATACCTGCTTAGCTTGCTTTACAGGAAACCCAAACGAAACCAGGACTGCTTTTGGCGTGCTTGTATTTCGGCACATGCCCAGTTATTGTGGATCCCCAAGTACTAGCAGCTAATTACAATGAATTTTTATGATGACGCGATTTTTTGTTCAAAAGTACCCCGCAACTCCGTTCTAATTACTTGGCCCCTTCCCTTGTGAAGCGTTCACCTGTGTGGCTCCATACTTGGGATCCCATCCCCGAGATTGATCTGGGATGCACCTCAGAGCTTGTTTTGATGGTCAAGGTTGTTGCGATTTGGGGTCAGGTCTTTGGGTTTCCCTTTCATATCGACCTTGGATTAGTGCCGCCTGGCGGCGGTCCCCTCTTAAATGGGACACCTTGCAATCAACCAGCAGTTCTGAATCCTGGGTGCTCGATCTGACTTGGCTTCCAATCAGCTGAGGTAGAAACTGTTTGGCTCCAATTCCTTTCAGAGGCACCCCCTTTTTCTGGAGGCTCCTAAGCCGCGTTGCGAATCTCACCAAACGGAGGTTCCGCCCCCACGCACTTTTGACGCCCTCAAAAGGTGGCACGTATCGGCGGCGCCAGGGCCATCTTTTTGACAATCCCTCGCTCCACAAATCCAAGGGAAACTCGGACAGTCGATCTGTGTGACAACCCCAATAGGGTCGATTGCTCCGAAGCCACAATGCCAGTTAATAGGCTGTATGGACAAAATCTACGTCGCACCAGTTGGGATACATGAAGCTCTATAAATACTGGTTGACAAACCACCAATTCCAACTGGGACGAAGTGGAGTTTGTCCATTGCCAGAAAATATAAGCTTATGGCAATGTGCGGTTGTCTCAAAATAGGAATCGGACCCCCCCCCAAATGGGTAGTGTTCCTTTAAACCAGCCCCGAAACGGGTACCCTCAAAAAAAGACACAGTCATATGTCGCAAAACAAGACAAAACAATGCCCTGAAAGAGGGTGCTTGCAAAATAGACCCAAGGTGTCCATCGTGCATTCTTGCGCCCAACAAAAACATGCAGCATCCCTTCAATGGGTAGGTGGCTCGAGTCTGGGACTTGGACCTGAGGAGTCAGCGCCCAGCCCGGTGACGCTGGAGCCGGCAGCGGGGGTTCTGGAGCCTGGAGCCCAAGAGTGACCGGGTAAACCAATGTGTATAAGGGGTATGCAGGCGGTGCATAAGGGGTATACACATGTATTATTTGCAATCAATACAACTATGCATATATGTATATAAATATATATGTATATATGTATAGACACAGGTTTGTATATACATGTATATACACATATGTATATATATATATATATACACACATACGTATATACATATACATATACGTGTACATATACATGTATACATATTTGTATATGTTGAATAATCATGGATAGTCTCTGCTGAATTGGGAAGGACATAGCAGGGGCACACCGAACATTACCCACACCTGCCAGCTATCAAACAAGCAGTGTCCGCAGCTCAGATCCAACCTATGCAGCTATGTACCCGTGATACCTCCCCATGATTTCGCTCCCCTGGAACCTCCCCCATTGAACCCCCCCCCCCCCACCCTGTGTGGTGTGGCCTGATGTTCAGCTGCGCCTGGTTTTGTGTTGGTGTTTGAAGTGTTTTGAGTTGGGGTCAAATTTCGAAGGTGTTAGCCAGTTCAATCAGGCATGCCATGAATTATTAAACTATCAGATGGGCCCCTGTCGATTTTTCGCTTTCTAGCCAAGAATGCAGAGCTGGAAGCAGCCTCGCTCCAGTCATGGAAGCCGACAGCGGAAAATTGTGCAATTCGGTGATTGGAAACAGCTTCACCTCTCTGAGGGTTTTCTGAAACGTAGTTTTCCGTACATGAAACCTCTACAAGGCCGGGGAGGGGGGGGGGGACATGGTGATTTTGCTTGCTCGGTGCTTAGGTCCCGGCAGAGGCCAAAGTTCCTGCCCAGGCGGATGGGGCATTTGTCGAATGGGTCGAGCGATACGATTGCAAGTCATGTACGGCTTGGACAGACTCACCAAATTGCTATTACTCAACAAAGTTGGGGACAATGAATATTGATTCCTTTTGAAATCTAGGAGCATGATCTCTTCAGCTCCAACTCCGTTGGAGTTCGGGTTGGTTTTCCAGGGCTTTTTCGGGGTTCTTTTCGACCATGCTTGACAACAGGTACAAGTGCCCCAGCGACAGGGGCACCGACGGCGGCCTTTTCGATTCATGGCTCCTTTTCGCTGGTTCTTGGCCGTTGATTTCAGGACATCTGTGAGTTCCTTGACCTTTCTCGGACGGCTTGCTCCTTTTCTCTCGATGTGTTCAAACTCCCAAGCCTGCAGCAATCATCCCCAAGCTTTTTGAACTAGAAGGTCTGGAGAAAGATGTGCCAACTCCAAGATGTCAGCAAGCTTTTTGACTTCGAGTTGAAATGTGCCAGCTCCAACAAGATTCAACAGGTTGGGGATCAACAGGTTGGGGATGGTGATGTCTGCGGCCCGTTCCGCCAGGCTGCTGCAGAGGAGCGACCTCCTGGCGCAAGTTGCGCTCTCGCGGCGCGTGAGAGTGCGCGTTTCGCCCGCCGCCCGCCGCCCGCCGCCCGCCGCCCGCCGCGCCGGCGGGCGGCGGGCGGCGCTGGAGGATCTCCGGAGCAAAAATGAGGTTTGCGTTTGCTGGTGGTGGGGAGTGGTTGCGGAGCTAGGGCTATCCCAATTTGGCTTTGAATTTGGAGCTACCATTGGAACAAAACTCGACTAAATATGGGCAGGGTCGAAATTAAAAAATACACCAGCATATGGACCGCAGGTTTTGGTCCGCAGAGTTCCATTTCCAGGGTGCCAAATTTTGGGGTTACCCTATTGTTGACCCACGCCCGTTTGGGTCTCTTTTGATCTCATTTTCCACAAGGTTATGGTTGCCGGCATGGTTTTGGCTGGCCATTCATCTGGGCCTGGTTGCCCCTACTTCTTTGTCCTCAGAAAGTTGCCTTTAGCTCAGGTCGATTTTCCAGGCTTTCGGGGAGCATTCTCCAGGTTGCCAGCACTTCTTCATGGTTTTTAGCTGTGAGCCGCGGAAAGTCATCGGCTGAACGGAGATTTCTGCATGGGTGCGTAGTTTTTGAGGCTCACCCTGTGGGTGAAGCCCCATTTCAGAGGATTGGAGACAAGGCCACATGTTTGATTTCAAATGTTCCCTTTGCCGAAACCGAAAGAAAGTCAGGAGCTGAAGACTATGTAGCTGACCCCCCCCAGATTCACATAGAAAGTGATCCCTTTGCGTTAAACAAAAACAGGAGAGAGTGGCGTTTGAAGGGGTTCAAAAAGGCCAACCTTCGGCGCCGCGCCAGGGCTTGTTCCTTGGCGGAGTGTCCTCCTGGCAGCGGCTGGGGCGCATCTACAAGGCCGATGGGGTGTGCTTAAGCCTTAAGCATCGGCGGTATACCCTCCCACCAACTAACATGGAAGTGCAAACAGGCCCCTTCCAACAGGAAAGTAGTCGTTTTGCAGGGGTCTGTGCACTAACCCATGTTAGCCGGTGGGAGGGTATCGGATCGGCGTGCAGGCACCTTTGGCATGGCCTCACTTGCAAGAACTCGGCAGCTAAGGGAACTTGAGCCAAGAACCGTTGGACCGCGCCAGTTGTAAACGCACGTTGGACATGCCAAAAAGCACCCCAGGCGCAGCTTACAACAACTTGAAGCTCTCAATGCACAAGCGGAACCATTGTACCTTTAGATAGGCGAGGAATAGAGATGGAACCGAATGTCTTTCAAGCTCATCACTCCACACTTAAGAGAGGGACAATGCATGAGTGAGTTATCTCTTTCCCTTTCTATCACTCCTCTCTCCCATTCCTCTGTCTATCCATTTATTTGGATAAGAAGACGCACACAGAGAGAATGGACAGATACGGCAACGAGGGGCATGGATGGACTCCTCTTTACTGGCACGTCTCCCGTCTCATCTCCTCACCACCAATCCCCAACTCAAGGTGGGATGGGAAATGATAGAAGGCCGTGGCTCAAAAAACTGGTACCAAAATCGAACCCTGGTAAGTGGAAACATGGACCAAAACCTGCGGTTTGCCCCTCTGTTTAATTTTGAGCCACACCCAGAAAGCGACGGGATATGATGGAGGGTTCAGAGAGCTGGCCGTTTCCTTCTTCCCTCATGCTCAGGGTTGTGGGATCAAGGGGTTTTTCCCCACTTCTGTGATACAAGGGAATCCCCCTTTCTACGAACAGTAGTCTTTGGAAAGCCCACTCCGTTGTATCACAGAACTGGTCATTCCCCACAGCCCTGCTCATGCTCGTTAAATCTTTTTCCGCTCTTCCATCTGGTTTACTCGATGCCTTTGGGAGCAAGTCCATGAGACAAGAAATTGAGAGGGGAAGAGGGCCCAACAATAAAGTTCACTCATATCTCTGGATGTGCAAAATCCATTTTGCACCACTTGGAATCTGTGGTGGAAACCATGCCCTTGGTCGGTATTTACAGGGGAATCATCCTTCCAGGGTTTCTGAATGGTGGATCGAAGTGGATTTCGTCCATACATCATCCCATCAGCTCCTTCCTTTTAGAATCTCATTTACATGCCGGCGATGGCCGTCTCTTAATGATGGATGGCTTCCGTCGAATTACTCCGGGTCGGGAAGCGCTTCACCTCTGTCCAGGCGAAGGATATATATATATATGTATATATATATATATTATAATACAACTCACATTTTTGGTGGTTCCCAGCCATCCTCTGAGCTTTGTGGGTTGTTAGTGTTTCACGCACTAAAAGGTCTCACCTTTTAGCAGGTGATCTAAAAACCGCCAGCCTAGACCTGCCTTCGCTTGTTTGTCTGGCGCTCTGCCTTCGCCAAGCGCGCAGACCGCGGTGCCCTTGTGATTTTCGAGGGTGTGCTGGTTGTTGTTGGGAACCCCCTTTCCCACCAGGCCAACAGGACAACATGCCTAGGTCCAAGTCCTACTGATGGACGAAATCCTGCACCTACGAAACCCAACAGAATGATGATTCCCTTGTAAACACCCACCAACAATGGTTTCCCATGGTTTCCCAGTGGTGCGAATCTCTGGAGTGTCTTCAGGCCGCAAGGCAATGGCAACAGCCAGCTCGTCCATCGACAGTATGTTTGCAAACCACCCAGTTCTGTGCAGGTCGAGAAGAAGGCCCGGGACGAAGAGATCGACCAGGCGCTGCGGGGGTCAAGCAAAGCGCCGCTGCCGGGTCAATGCGAGGATACATTTTGGGATGTCTCTGTTTGAGTTTTTCGTGGTTTTTAAAGGAACACCAAGAGGACAATCACCATGTTGAGGGGATCCCCTCGAAAAGCCACACTCATTTAGAGGATCCCCTCAAACCAGGTGGTTTTGGGATGTATCCTTTAAGCCCTGGTGTTCCAGGTTCCGTATCCGAATCCTCGGGGTTTTCTTGGGCAGGCAGGCAGATGAGGATTAGATTGGAGGTGTTCCAGGGTCTTCAAATGAAAACATATATATGTATATATGTGTTTGGATTGGTTTGAATTTGGATTAGCCCCGGCAAAGGCATGGGAAATCACCCCGGAACACCTCTAATCCAAACCACTGGAGGGAAGCTGACTGAAGAACCCCGAGGCCGTTTCAAGCCCAAGAGCCCACCGTACAAATGGCAAGGGCTTCCTTTGGGTTGAGGCGTTCCCCGATGTGGACGATATGTATCTCAGAGGTTCGCGTTTGCGAATGTCCGACCTCGTGGTGTGTTGATATGTTGTTTCAAGAACCAAGTTGCATGCCATGAAAATGGTATGCTTAGAGCACAATGCACACATGTACATGTACTAAGGAAGACCCGTCAGACTATTCACACGACAGGGACCACATGGGGGTCTGCCTGCTGCATGGGGGAGACAAGTTTGTAGAAGACTTTCCGTGACACCCGCACACCGGGAATTGCGCCATCTACTTCCACCTTGGTGTGTAAGCGGTTCATGAGTGAGAGCTGGCTTTGACAGGTGGTCCAAAAACATGGTGGCCAGTGCAGCTCCTTTCTGCTGTACCCAAGTGGTTGATTCCCATCTCCACTGGGCTTCACTTCACTCGAACGAGGGGATGGACCGATGGACGCGGCGAGGTCATCGACGCACTCCAGTCGCAGCCGGATGGCACCCCGGACATTGTCGAGCGCATCGACGACCAGGGCAGGCCCCGGCAGCCGCTTTCGCCGGCCGCTTCCGCGGGGTCGAGTGGATTTTGGGCCCAGCTGAAAGTGGGAGGCGCATGTTGAGGGCACAAGAAACGTGGAGGGTTGCGATCTGAAGTCCTTCAGGGTGAAGGGGCCGAGATACTTCAAGAAGGGTTGGGTATTCAAAGATTGAACATAGTCATGATCGGAGGAGGAATCTGTTGAAGTTCGCCTTCTACTTGCAAGATACCCGCTGCGTATCCATGAAGGTGGACAGAAGAGCACAACTGTTTTGCCGAGCCCTCCCCCACACATTTTTGTTTTCCCTCCCCGGGTTTCAGCCCGCCAGGATCCTGCCGCCCGCGGAGCTCAAGAAGCAGAGGCTCCTGGCGACCAAGGAGAGGGGGGGGGAGGGGAGGGATTCCTTGACTTTAACCAGTCTTTTTTTGACCTTATCCAGTTGCTCATTCCTGGTAGGGGGTTATACAACTGGTTGGGTTGGATCTAAAGCGACTTTAAGCTTTTTGGTTGAAATAAAGGTGTTTTTCCTACTAAACCCCAAAAAGTTGAACTTGTTGAAGGGGGGTCAACAGCAACCAAGATTCATAGAAACCGGCTACAGGAAGTTCTACGGGAAATTTGCCAAAGACCCACCAAAAACCAAAAATGGTTCCGAACAAAAGTTTTCCTGGGTCGCTGCTTCCTCGGATTCTCATGATTTGGACGGCTTCTGGGGCTTATCAAAGTCAGACACTGAAAATTCGGTTTTGCCAGCGCAGCTAGGCACCGCGTTTTACAGGTGAGTTCAATCCACTTGATTGTGGTGGTGGGGTGGGGGCGGTGGGGGGGGTGGTTTTAGTGAGGCTGATTCACTTTATTTCCATCACATCATCATCACTCGCCATGCCTTTCTTCTCCAAATGATATAGAGATAAAGAGACTCTGGAATCCTTCCTTTGGCCACCTCTCTATCCATCACTTCCTTTCCCGCGGTTTACCCTTCCTTCACTCTTTTTCTCACATTACTAACCATTCTGGAGAATACAAAGAATCCTTTCAAGACAGCACTCCGAGCTGTACAAGCATTATCCCATCAGCATCAACAAACGAAAGAGAGTGGGTCCATTCGGTACCCTTTTCAGGTGGGTTTCAAGGGAAACCAGAACCCTAAACTTGGGGTCCATGTTTTTTCCATTTGACACAAAATCCAAGGCGCGGTTCATCCACCAGTATTCATGGGGTTTGCACCCAAACACATGCCTGGCGAGATTTTGGCACGCCGGAATTTCTCACAAACCCAAACATGTAGTCCAGGATTCATCAGCGGGTGGATGAATAAAAGACACTCCCGAGTATTGTGAATCCGGGATCCACATCACATCCATCGTTTTTCCAGGGATGGTTCCGCCGCAACAAGTATTAACCAGCTGAAGCAAAGGATTGCATCCAAAGAGCAAACGGGGCCAAGCTCTTTCCCCCGATCGCTCAATCGATCTCCAGTCAGTGAAGCTCTGGGCAAACCATCGCCCGAGATCGAGCAATTTTGGTCGGGCCACTGGCTTTCTCCTACTGCGATTTGGGGTTGTGAAAAGTGGGCGAGGGGGGGGGGGAGGGGGCTGTTTGCGGTTTTTGGTTTTGGTTTCCCAACCAACCCCGAAAAGGGTACCAAATGCAGAAACACACAGACCCGTTTCGCGGCAAAACTCAACAGTCTGGCATTTAGTGAGGGAAAGAGCAGGAATGGCCATTTGGCTACGAGCAAAGGAGCCAGTTTTGTAGGCAGCCGTTTTTCTTTGCAGGGGGATGGGTGCAGAGAAAAACAACAGGAGAAGCAGATGCTGTTGGAGGAGAAGAAGAAGGAGAAGGCGAGATCGATGCGGCAGCCGGAGTGCCCTGAAAGCTACCTTCTCCTGTTTCTTTCTCCCCCAAGTTCGGCCGAATCGATTCAAAGTAAAGGAATCTCATCTCATTTTTCAGGAGGGTAACGGGCGCATTTTCATTTTTGCCTGTCTTCTATTCTCATTCGATCCCTTGAACCCATGACGTCAGGGCTCCGGCTTTTGCGCCAATAGCCTGTTGCTGTTGGTTGAGCAGGGTAGGGAAGAAATCGTTAGACTTGGGTGCGTTTTGTTTGATGGAACCCTTTTGTGGGCAGCTTAAAGGAAAGCCAAAAGGGACACCACTTGTTTTTTTTTTTTTTTTTTTTATTTGGGGGGGGGGGGGGGGAAAAAAGCCCCCCCCCCCCCCCCCCCCCAAAAAAAAAAGCGCCGGGGTACTTGCCCCTTTGGCCAGCTGGATGGCGTCGATGCACAGTTCCATTCTCCTCTGTGAGTCAACGGCGCTGGCTGCTTGCTTGAAGTTTGGTGTAGTACTTCCAGGGTCCCTTCATTTCCCTTTTGGAAACTGGCAATTCCAAAGGGCACCAGAAGTTCGTTGCAACTTTTGAAGGGGAAACCCAATGACCCTTGTACTTGGAACCAAATCATGAAAACTGTGAGTCATTGTTTAGCCCGCGAGTCATCATTGAGCTCTACATCTTTGCCCCAGTAATGATGACGACGATGATGACGGTGATGGCGATGACTGTGGTGATGAGGATGATAGAGCCTACGTAGATCCAGGGCAGAGAAGACGGCGAGCGTCGTGGTCCGGGCTGGACTCACTCGCAAGCGCACATGCTCCTCGTTGAATTTAAAAGGGACCTTGAAAAGGCCCCCCCAAAGCACACTCCTCTAACCGCTTTCTTGTTTTTGTGGTTCGATGTGGATTTGCAGGCGAGCAAGGCTTAAAGGACCATCTTTTCTCGAGTGCGCGTGAACCAACTTGAGCCCGGCATGAAGGGGGAGGGGGAAAGACGGACTTCTGTGTGCTTGGTTCCATAGTGAGGATAGACTCCTGCTGTAGCAAGTGTGGATTGGTGTACCCCTGTACAGTTGGATAGGACTGGATGGGTTAGTTTCTCGATTATCCCCATCTCTTACCCAACAATTCATTGTCCATCTAGATCCGCGCCATGTTTTGGTTCTATGGATCAACACAAGCAACACGCCTGAGGAGCCCAACATGATGCTAGGCTCCGGCTCAAATCCCCTCCGCTTCCGGCGCAGGACAAGCTGCTCAAAGAATGAGCGAGCGAGCGCGCTGCGAACTGGCTTCTGCTCTTTCCCCGCGTTCTTGGACCAGTGCATCTTGACGGCTCCTTCTCATAGCCGGATGGGCGATTCCTTTTTGCTGGAATGCACAGCCGGAGCTGACCGCGGAGCGAGCCGAATGGAAGTTGTTGCGGTAAGAGAAGCGCTTCGCGCGCGCTGAGCTTTTTGTGTTGGGGGGGGGGGGGGGGAGGGGTTGGGGTCAATCCTCTGAGCCACCAATCCAAACCACCCTTTTTGAGGGAAGCTGAGCGTCACTGTGCCGTTTTGCTTTTGTCTTTTCGAGTGCCATCAAATGCTTGTGGACACTTTTTCCTTTCTCGCCTGCCCAAAGTTTTGGGTGCACGTGCTTATTTTTTCGGACGCGCCGTCAAAGCGCCCAGATGGGTCTTCTTCTGGCAGGGGGTTACTGGATTTCTGGCTTTTCCAGTCAAAGGTTGCAATTTGCACTGGTGGTTTCCATGGAAACTGTCACTTTTGGAGGTTCCAAAGAGGGAAATGGAGGAAACCCGGTCTGGACTTGTGAGACGTTGCATGTGGCCTGCCTTTTCTCACAGGAGTTTATTAACCGCTGGATGTCCGGGGTCGGGTCCAAAGGCAGTTTTGCTTTTGGTGAACTGAGCCAAAAAGCAACCAATGGAGTTTGGCGGACAGGAAGAACGAGACAAGCACGAGATTTATAGGGGGCCATAAAAGACTTTAAAAGATTGATATCCCTTTGAGATGGTCGCAATGTTTCGTTTTGAGGTCTGTGCATGTGTGTGTGACTGTGTGTGTGTGTGTGTGTGTTTCTTTTTTTGGGTCTGTGTTTACGGGAAGCCAAAAGGGAAGCCACTTGTCTTAGTGGTTTCTTTGCGAGGAGTTGCACCAATCGGTGGGTTTGCCCATGAAGTGAGGGCTGGCTGGTTCTCATCCCCGACCGCAGAGTTTCGGCCCAGATTCATCTGTACGAAGTTTCTGTGGGCGAGACACACAGGCTCGTAACAGGAGACGCAGGCTCCAAAACTGATTCCTCTTGGCCAAGTTTGCGGGGTTCTGCCTCTCAAATTAACATCGAACCCAAACAGCGGTTCCCGGAAAAGGAGCTTGCTCTAAATTCTGCAGGGGAGTACTTGGTTTGGCAGGGCTCATCCAGAGGCTTATGGGGTCCGTGTGTTTGCGGGCCGGGCCATTTTCCCGGGACGCCAGGGCTCACTTGAGATAAATCCATAGGAGAGAAAGGCTAAACTCTCTCATCTAGAGATATGAGTCAACCTCAGAATTATCAAAGACCACTTTATCAACGGCGTTTCATTCAATACTGGTTTTTTGCATTTTCCTTGGAGAACGATAGGGGACTCACAAAAAACGATACCCCTGAACATGGTTTGTGCTGGACCTTCGAGCTGGAGCTGCCGAAGTCTAACTTGTGTACCGTGCCTGTACTGAAAGCTGCGACTTGCGACCTGGAGGTTGCTGCCAGCAAGCAAAAGCCGCTTAGACTGACACGTGACCGCCGCAAGCTGCGACCTTCGAGCTGGAGCTGCCGAAGTGTAACTTGTGCACTGCGCTTGTGGTGAAAGTTGCGACTTGCGACCTTGAGGTTGCTGCCAGCAAGCAAGCCGCCAAGACTGATATATGATTACCGCAAGGCAGAGAAGGCTATTGTGTGTTTGCTTGGCTCTAACAGCTTATGGAAAATTGTGAAATTTTCGTCACGCGACACACGCCCAGAACGATACCCCGGTCGATACCCCGTCGATACCCCGAGCATTGGCCCGAGTTGCAAATGTGAGGCCTAGTGCATTTGCTTACAAAAGACTACGCGTGTGGTTCCAGTGCTGTGTTTGCGTAGAAAGTTTGTCGGGTGCTTTTCGAGTTCGCGCGGCGCTATAGGGGTTTGCGTAGAAAGTTTGTTGGGCACGCATGGTCACCGCGAAGAGGGTTCACCGGGCACTTTCCAAATTCGCACGGAGTCGCAGCGAGGGCGCTTTGACACGCGCAATCCTCGCAGAGGGTTCATTGGGCACTTTACGAATTTGCACGGCGCCACAGCGAGAGCGCTTGGGCGCGCAGGATCACTGCAGAGGGTTCACCGGGCACTTTCCAAATTCGCACGGCGTCGCAGCGAGGGCGCTTTGACACGCGCAATCCTCGCAGAGGGTTCATTGGGCACTTTACGAATTTGCACGGCGCCACAGCGAGAGCGCTTGGGCGTGCAGGATCCCTGCAGAGGGTTCATTGGGCAGTTTTAAAATTCGCACGGCGTCACAGCGAGGGCGCTGTGGCACGCGCAATCCTCGCAGAGGGTTCATCGGGCACTTTACAAATTCGCACGGCGCCACAGTGGGAGCGCTTCGAGGCGCGCGATCCCTGCAGAGGGTTCATCGGGCACAGCACGAACACGCGAAACGTGGAGAACGATAGGGGACTCACTAAAAGTAGAATGAATACACCCCACACAGCAAATATAGACGCTGGCTCATATGACGTCTGTGATTTCGCGATGGGTGTTTTACTTTTTCCCAGGACCAAAAAACAACATAGCCTTCACTGGCGATGTGTGAGACATTGGAGAACAATATAACGAGCCTCCAAAGACAATAACTTCCTGCTCGAAGTCGCTCAAAGTATTCCTAGGTTTTGCCGCTTGCTCATATGAACTTCAGGCAAGATCTCCAGATTTGTCCAGAACCAGCATTGAGTTTCTTGCAACATCTGATTTTCCCACGTCCTCTTTGGGGAACAAGCCATCTTGACTGTGGCGCATATACACCCGCTGCAAGAATGTCGGTAGGTTTCTTGGTGCGTGCTGAGATGAAACTGGCAAGAGGGGCTACCCCAAGGGCCAGGCTGGGCCTATGAATCTTTGACTTCACATCATAGAAACCCCAGCGAAGCATTTCCACGGGAGATTGGCGAGACACCAACCAACAACGATGTCCAGGAAACAAAAACCTGTAGCCGGTTTCTTAGATTGCATTACCATGTTGGTTTGTTTGCTTGAAAATTTTTCACAGGGGCGACCATCTTACCGCGTCAGTTTGGGAGATGTTTTCTTTTGTCGGGAGGTTCGCTCATCCGCTGCGGGCCCTTTGTGTCCGGTCGAACGGTCAGCAACCTCAAGGTCTTCGTACGGAACTCCTAGTTTGAAGTGAGTCATGAGAAGGGTGTGTCTTTTTTGTCGAGCCGATTCTTCAAGGCCTTTCGGTATTTTTGTTTGCATTTGTTGATGAAGGGCTCCTTCTCACTGCCTGAGTTACAGGACTTGAATTGAGGGACCCTTGTATGAAACAGGTGAACGCCCCTGCAACTGGACGCTTCTGTGGGTTCTCAATCCCGAGAGAACGCCGATAAGGACGGGGGGCGGGCAGCGAATGATTTGCCAGGGCCATGACGGACCGTTTCTATCCCGTGGGCATGGAGGCGGGGAAGGGTAGATGGCGGCCTTGTGCCATTTGGTGGTTGTCTGAAGGGACCCACGTAGTCGATGGGCAAAGCCACTCTTGGTCTCTCAGAAAGGGGGCATTTCCATTTTCCACATACGCGTGGAAGGGGGCGTCCGCACATGGTTGACCCTGACTGCACAACTTGCATTGGATTCTCCTGAACGGGGGTTTCCCTGAAAGGGGGTAAAACCAGTGATTCTAAGCCAAATCAGGAAGGTCCAGTACTAGGGGATGCCGTATTGAATGATAGTATTGCATGGTAATTGATGAACTCAGGTATTCAGGTTTACCCTTTGAACAAGGGTTGGTGGCCCAGTCTCACCTCTTCGCGAGTTTCAGGTTGGAGGTTGAGTCGGCGGACAAAAAACATCAGTACTTGACTACCTGGCGATGAAGCCAGATACATCTAGTGGCACCTGGAGCAAAGCACAAAATGGATCAAGAGGGGTCTGGAGACCCAACAGTTCAGGTGAAATAGAAACGGCGGTCTCTTTTTTTTTAATCCCGTGGAGCGACTGTGATGGGAATCAGCGCGTGGATGTAGTTCAAGCCGAACAGCAATGGGACATCTTCGTGATGTACCAGTGTTGTCGTTGCTTGCTTGCCATCTTAGGAATCGATGTCACAAGAGAACACGACTCCGTGTTGAAGCTCAAAGGATCGCTTTGCAAGGTGTCTTTCGATTGCCCAGATCGAAACGGCGAAGGACAAGTAGCACCTCTTTCAGACTTTCAGGGCCTTTCTGGGAAAGTGCAGGATCAATCAGATAACCATTTGATCAATAGTGGGTGACAACAAGGGGTAAATGTCCTTGATTCAGGGGAATCAGGGGGGTATCATTATAGCAAAATGCCTTCAGCATTCAGCCCCTGGTTGATGTTAAATGGCAGCCTGTCTATGGCCTTCCTTTGTGTTGTTTCCATACCAACCTATTGGTTGTCTCAAGACACAAACTCAATCCAATGAGCGAGACATTGCGCGGATGGTGACCTTTCAGGATTTGAAGCGGCATTTTTTCTTGTGACGTATAGGTGCCACCATGTGACTCTTGGACTCGGAGGGTCACGGACCTGGAATTGGAATCGAGTCAACCAGTTCAGCGGATTCCTAAGGGAAAGCCACCATGGCCATAAGGAGATTTGATTACGCATAAAGTATATTCGGGCCGTTCAAGAAGTAGATGGGGGTTGTGGGGTACTTTGGAGCCAAATTTCGTCATGATTGCGGGATAAACAAACTGCTGGATTCGTATATGGCTGTGGGTCAAAACCAAAGGTACCGTTTTGGGGTAGGTGTACCACCAATTTTAGTCTATCTTAGTGGGGATTGGGATGTTCACCAGGGGTACGAGAATTTGACCCATGGCCATATTCCCCCCCTTGTATTGCTGATTGCTTTTGACTTTGGGAGTTTCGGCCTTGGCCCAAGTCGTGTTGGCCAGGCCGAGGCCGACAATTGGAAGACCACCTACGAGGCAGTCCGATGATTCGCCTGTTTTGAAGCGCTGAGGGATGAGCCAAAACTCGAAGTATCGAGGGGCTCTTGAGTTGCTGCTGGGGGTTGGTGCCCCAGTTGTTCAGTTGCTCCTTGTTTTGTCTCCCCCTTCTGGGTTTTGTTGTCGGTTCCCCATAGATGGTTAGGCCCAAAAGCGTTTCTCGCTTTCTGGAGGAAATGGGTGTTGCTTTGGAGTGCGGAAGGCGTAGGCCCAAGCTGGAGCAGTAGGGGGGGGGAACCGGAGCGATCGCTGAGGGGAACCCGGTGGGTGCTATAGAAACAACAGATCAGGTAGAGTCCGTTCGCCCAGAACTCTGGGTTTCTGTTGGGTTTCCCTTAGGTTTCCGCTTTCCTTTGGCTTCTGGAGCAAGAAGGCGACTCACGTCGGCCTTAGCAGCCGAGGTGATGAACGAAATGCGGTCCTTTGCGCGTAGCCCGTACCCGCCAGGCGCGGGTAGGTGAGGGCGGGGGGGGGGGGGGGGGGTGAGGAAGGGTTCCAGGATTTCCACAGATTCCTCAAAATCCGGCAGAAATCATTCTGAGCGCTAGCCTCTTTCTTGCAAGTTCCCTCAATGTAAGAGCCCCCTCAAACAAGGTTGGAAATAAAAGTGCCAGGGGAGGTTCCATCCGATTCAACCCTCAATCTTCCGCTTATTTGTTGAGGTGGCAAAACATTTGGAGTCTCCACCACCTGGGAGGAGGGCAATTTACCCTTCATTTTGCGGTCATGACCATTTTATTGGTGTCATGACATTGTCTTTCTGTGCATCACCTGGAGACTCTTTGCGTGCCTTTTCTCAGGCAACCCTCAGTTGCCCTCAGTTGGTTTGCATTGCAAATTTGAGCCCTGGTTCTTGTCGAACAGAAACCCGCAACACCTCCAAACCGCTTCAAGTCCATTGGAAACAACGGCTGCGTGCACCGGCCTCTGGGTGGACCCCCCCCTCCGGCGGTTGACTCGACTCGACGCCTCGCGAGGCACGGCCATCCATCAGCCGGGCTCCCGGGACCACTTCGGCTTCAGCGCCCCCGGGCCCATCGCCAACAGGCGACCGACGAGACGACATCCCCGGCTCGCGGCTCGCGGCTCGCGGCTCCGGTGAGTCTGAGGGATGGGTGTCCAAGCGAATGTGAGCAAAGCTCGCCCTCATTTGGGTGTGCGTCAGAGACCAAACTTTTTTTCTTTCTTTCTTAGGCAAAGGAGCCATTTGAAGACCGCCTTTCGAGGCGCCCGTTTTCAGAAATCAAATCTCGTCCAATTTGAAGACATACCAGGGCAAATCAAAGTGAGCTCACTTGGGGGTACTACGAGGTTACCCCCCTATACCTGCTTCTGATTTCTCAGTAGTAATTTGCCCAGACACCAACTGTAGGTTGTCTTCTTTGTTTTTCAAGGGTACTTGTTTTCTTTTCTTCGGGAAACCAAATGGAACCCCTACCATTTGTTGGGGGTCCACTACAAAAAGACACCCCATATGAGCCCCTCAGAAGGACCAGTTGAGCTCCAGCGTTGCCAGGCTGGCCAATGCTGACCTGGCCCGGGGCCAAGAGGTTAGGCCTTGATGAGGTGAGCCCGCAAGCCTTCCACCTCGAGACGTCTGATGTTCCGCTGGTTTATGTTGGAATTCAGATTTCTTGTGTGAAGGGAATGGATCACTGGATATGATGTGCGGTTTTGTCGGGGGCGGTATATGCAATAGAAGGACCTCCCCCTACTTGTTTCCTTCATGTTTTCCGATTTCCCTCATGGGATCTCGGTTTGGCAATTTGCCAAGTGTCGCACCTCCGGGCATCGGGCGTGGCTAGGAATCGGATGGTTGTTGCCCGCTTTCGTTTGGCTGCCTTCGGGGCAACATCCGAAGCAGTTTGCGGCGGGAGATTGAAGACTTGAACACCAGAATGACTCGATACCGGTGGCTTTCCTGAAGACGAAAGAGTGCTCAAAGCCTCTAGGGCTCTTACCATCAGAGCAAGTTCTCAGTTGTTCAAAGCCGACCTTTTGACCTTTTGGTTTTCCCATTTTGGTCCATATTTAGTCATGGCCCCAAAAGGTTAACCTTTTAGTTCCAGTTGTCCTTTGGGCAACTGAGTACTGGGGCCTCCTTGACAGAACCGGACCTTCCTTCCGGGTTCCCAGCGCTGGCGCCCAGTGCCTCACGGAAGACACCGACGTGGCCAACCCGCGGGAGCACATGGCCATCACCCGCATTCAGGCAGTTTTTTTTTTTTTTTGGGGGGGGGTTGGGGCCAGGAATTCGGAGATTGATCATAGCCATCGGCGCATGGCCATCAACAAAAATAGGTCTCCCTACGGAGCAATGTTTCACAGAAGCCAAGCAGTTGGAAGGTCCTAAGGTTGTTCAACAGGTTTCACTCCGCAAAGAAAGCTTGCGCAAGCAACGGATAGTTACTGCGATTTCGAACACTTGGCCAGACGGTGGGAAGGCTTGTCTTTCATTTTCCTGTTGAGGGAAATGTACAGGGACCGGGTGTTTGAACATGAAGAAACCTTCTTGGAGTGGTATTTCCTCAAAAAGTGGGGGGCGGTCCAAAGGCAAGCCCAGAACTATTTAGCTGCCAAACTCGAGGAAACAGATGGTCCTTTTTCGGGAACGAGGGACACCAAAGGGACAACACGGGTCACTACGTGAGACACACCCGAAAATACCCTGAAGGCGGTTGCAAAACTTCGTTTCGTGTCCACATATCGTTCCAAGTGATCCAGATCCGCTCCCTCCCGGCCCCTGCTTTTTTATTGCGGTGGCTTGCCGGGGAGCGTGAACACGAAGTGTTTGTCCGCCTGAGGTTTTCCACATGGGATCTTTTCGGCAAGTGATCACCACCGAACTGCAGGAAGACAACCTCTTTCTTGAGAAGAACACTTCCAAACAAATGGCAGTGTTTGTTTTTGAGGGGTCTGTAGCTGAGCCGCGGCGGACATTTGTTACAGACCTCGTTACAGACCTCTGTAACAAGACCCGCTGGCTCGTTACACACCCTCGTTACACAGCCTCGTTACACACCGCAGATGAACAAACCGGGCGGGCCAGTCACTGCCCTCTTTTCCGCAGCTTGTGTTGCGTTGAAAAGCTGCAATCAAGGTGGAGCTGTGGAGGCGCTTTGCGTAGTGCGCTTTGTTTTGCCTCGTTGCAGACCTCGTTGCAGACCTCGTTGCGTAGCCGTTACATACCTTGTTGCAGACCCAACCCCAGCCCGGGCCAGTGACCCCCCTTTTTGCCGTTGCCATGAAGCTGGTGCTGCGGAGGCGCGCTTTGCGTGCTGCGCTTTGCGTGCTGCGCTTTGCTTTGCCTCGTTACGGACCTCGTTACATAGCCGTCACATGCCTCGTTACAGACCCAACCAACCCCAGCCCGGGCCCGCGACCCCCCCCTTTTTTGCCGCCGCTCCGGAAACACGCTTTGCGTGCTGCGCTTCGCTTTGCCTCGTTACAGACCTCGTGGCCTCGTTACAGACCCAACCCCAGCCCGGGCCTGCGACCCCCCGTTTTGCCGCCGCTTGGCTTGCGTTGAATAGCTGCAATCAAGCTGGAGCTGCGGAGGAGCGCTTTGCATACTGCGCTTTGCTTTGCTTTGTTACAGACCTCGTTACATAGCCGTTACATACCTCGTTACAGACCCAACCTCAGTCCGGGCCAGTGTCCCCCCCTTTTTGCCATCGCTTGGCATTGCGTCGGCAGTTGCAAATTTCAAGCTAGGAGGCGTGCTTTGCGTGCTGCGGTTGTACTGTACGACTTTCGAGCAGGAGCTGCTGCTCTTCGTTGTTGTGCGCTACATTGTGCTATTGATACAGCTTGTCAAGAAATATTTTCCTGTTACAGACCTGTGTAACAAGGACCTCCGTTACAGACCTCCGTCACAAGATTCGTGAGTTTTTTTATTTTAACAAGGGAGCCACAAGGATGGCAACCACCTGGAGGGGCAGTTTGGTATTGTCTGTTGACGTGGGGACTTGGAGAAGTCAATCGATCTCTGGTCGAGGAGCCGGATGATCGCCGGGTCTTTGAGAAGTACGACGTGGACGAGATGGTCAGGAGACGGGTGCTGATGCGGTGTCCCAAAATGAGAAAAGGAAGCACAAGGGAGGATGGTGCGTACACGGCATTTGCAATGAAACCAACCGTTTGAATTGGGTCACTCTCAAAATTTTCCCGAAAATGATGGTGCCAATTATGTAGATCTGCCCTCAAATTGAATTCGAGACTCCCCCTCCCAAGAAACGCTCAATTGGACGCTCAATTGGAAAGCGAGCCGGGCAGAGCAAGCCGTGACGTGGTTTCCTTTCGGTTTCTTGCTAAAGGCCATGTGTCAGTCGACCCTGCGCTATGCAAAGTGGAATCCAACTCATATGTGTGGATTCCAACCTTTTCACCAAGCAAAAGCAAGTTCTTTTTTTTGATGTGTTTTCTGCTTTGAGGGTTTCGTTTGCGCTACACATTGCAAGTTTATGAAGAACCCTCGCCATCCTCCAACAGTCATTTGTCAGTGGACAGGGATTGTTTGAAAACAAGAACTGCTCTTCTTGTTTGAAGCCCTCAGCACCCACCAATTCAGGGGAAGCTGACAGCTGGCTGGTTGTCAGCCAGGCATGCGCGTGCTTTGGCCATGACACGTGAGCATGACACGGCATCCTGGCAGCCTCTCAGTTTTCCTCGTCCACGCTTGGGTGCCTTGTGGCTTTGCCTTTCGGCTTTCTGCTTGGATGTACTTGTTCCTGGTTTTGGCTTCATGTCCTGTTCTTGGGGCCGGTTTCATGTCAGCCCTTTCAAAATGTTCCAACCAGATCTCGGCAGCTTCAACCAGAAGGTCAGACCCGGGTCTCTTTCGGACACCAAGCGCCAAGCGAGCGATCCCGCCCGAAGCCCCGCGCGCGTTTTCGGGTGAGGACCTACAACTCTCCGGTGGCCAAGGCAACGTTGTCCCCCACCAGCGGCAAGGGCATGTCCCTCGCCAAGGCGCGGCACTTCGAGCATGGCTCGTTGCGCCAGAAAGGCAGGGGTCAAGGTGCGAGACATAAGAAGACTCCCTGAGTTTGGTACACCTTTTTCGGTTGGTCCGTTTCAACCTCTGGACTTTTGGCGGGACAAATTGCTGTTTCCCCACTGACTGGCAACAAGTTGAGCCTCTTGCAGGCTGCCCCGGAAATTGCTGAACATGCATGATTTGGCCAGGGTTTCGCGCATAGGTTTGGCTTCGCTCAACATGATGACGATGATGCTGCTGCTGCTGCTGCTGATGAGATATGGGATATGAGATATGAGATATGAGATATGATGTGATATGGTATGAGCTTCTAGCTGAGATTGGGGGTGGAATGACCATCGGTTTCCTCAATGTTCCAAGCCATCGTCTTCGCTGGCCGGCTTTCAGCTTCATGGCTTACTTCGAATTCATCCAAGGCGAGTCCACCTTAAAGAAGAACGCCCTCTGAAGAAGTTGTGGCCTCTTCCACGGTGGCCTGAGGGCCTTTTCAACGCCGGTTTCTGTGGGTCTCACAAAGACCGATTTGTCCAAATCGGTTGGACCATGGAGCACACAAAGGGGCAACTCTAAAAGCGGCGGCAGCTCCTTGTTCTTGTCATGGCACCTTTGGGGAGCGACTTGCGATTTCCGCCGCCATTCTTGTCGTTTGTTGTTTTGGGTTTAAATGGATCCAGCAACCCTCTTTGTGTACGCCCTGTACCCGCGCACACGATGGCACCAGGGCTCCATGATTCTTACCGCATCAACAGTGGTTGGCAGACAGAAATCACCTCAAGGTCCTCCATGTGCCCCGAGTCTCGAGTCTCCCAGACCTTCTCGCTGCCCACCATCTCCCGGCGGGCAGAGCCGCCGCCAAAGCTGTCCGAGGCTCCAACGTTTTGCCGCAAATGCTTTTTTGTTTGCTTGTTTCATGGTATGTCTAACTCCCAGGTGTCTGATTTAGCTCTAGTCAAATTAACTTTGGGGGAGGGGGGTAGTTGTCTAGGGGTAGCTTGCCATCTCATGATTGTTTGATGAGTTGGTTCTGACCTCTCGTTGTTTGGGACGAGTTCTGCCAGGCTTTTGTAGCGTGGCTTTTGGGGGGTCCAACTCGATTTCCTTCGTGTCATCGGGTTCACTGTTTCCAGACAAGCAGGTATGCCAAAAGGAACGAATCAGATGGTGTTTTTCTATCGGCCAATCAACCAATTCCGGACTTTGAGGTATATTTGCCATCCCAAGACCTCCACTTGAATGCTTGAAGGATTGCTCCAAGAGGGTAGCAGCGTCTCCACTGCTGTTGGTTTAGCGCTTCTTTTTTGAGCAGGATTGTTGAACAGTGTTTGCACGGCATCTGGTTTGGTGGGCACTTTGACTTATGGGATGTTTATGCCTACACGTGGAAAACCGTAAATGTAGTTACTGCCATCGGCCACAAAACCTCGACGTTCATCATACCGGCCCATGATAAGCACACCCGCCCCGCAGCATCCGCAGCCAGCAGAACACATGCTCAGCCCATGAAAAGCACACCCGCAGCATCCGCAACCAGCAGAACACATGCTCAGCCCACGATAAGCACACCCGCCCCGCAGCGTCCGCAGCCAGCAGACATGCTCAGCCCATGATAAGCACACCCGCCCCGCAGCATCCGCAGCCAGCAGAACACATGCTCAGCCCATGATAAGCACACCCGCCCCGCAGCATCCGCAACCAGCCGAACACATGCTTAGCGCAATAAGCACACCCGCCCCGCAGCATCCGCAAGCAGAACACATGCTCAGCCCATGAAAAGCACACCCGCAGCATCCGCAACCAGCAGAACACATGCTCAGCCCACGATAAGCACACCCGCCCCGCAGCGTCCGCAGCCAGCAGACATGCTCAGCCCATGATAAGCACACCCGCCCCGCAGCATCCGCAGCCAGCAGAACACATGCTCAGCCCATGATAAGCACACCCGCCCCGCAGCATCCGCAACCAGCCGAACACATGCTTAGCGCAGGATAAGCACACCCGCCCCGCAGCATCCGCAACCAGCAGAACACATGCTCAGCCCATGATAAGCACACCCGCCCCGCAGCATCCGCGACCAGCTGAACACATGGAAGACGGCTATGTGCGTCTGCTGCTCGATTCTGGCCCGCCCAGTCCGCTGTCTGCGCATGACTCGCCCATAAAACCCTACGTAACTGACGTGTCCCACAAGGGGATTAGGGGGGTTATCCTCTATCCTTTCTTGTGTATTCGACTCGCCGAAGCAATGTCGGCGGACTTTGGTTGGTTTTTGACCACGCAAAGCTATCGCGTTTTCCTTTTTGGCCGGTTGTGGTCTTTTCGGCTGGCCTCCAGTCTGGCAGTGTGGAAGGGCTCTGGGTGCTTTTTGTTCCTAAAACAGGGGGCCAGGTGTGCTCTTGGTTTCCCGTGACCTTGTCTCCCAAAATGGTGTGCCTCCAAGAGGGTAAAGCCCCGTTTTGGCCGGAATCCTTCGCCTCTTTTTCGCCTTCAAATCACACATCGCCTTTTGCCAGCGCAACCCGGTGATCCACAAGCTGGAGGATGCGCACTTCTCGTACTTTGTCGGGGCACCTGGAACCCGTTGCCAGTGATTTCCAGCAGTCTACTCTTGGTTTGGGGGACAAGCGCCACATTCCCTTCAAAAAGCCAACGACTTGGACAGCCCCGCGTTCACAAGAGCACACAGTATCCGGGGATGCCTGCCAGGGTTGCTCCGAGCCGTGCAACTCCAAGCTCCTTCAAAACGAACTTGAATTTTTCATACCCTTGTGCGAGTTGGGAGACGCAGAAGCAGGCCCCCGTTCTTTGTTTTGGGCTTGAAACCGACCCACTTAGCAGTGGGTTTCTACCTGCACTTTTTTGGCTTTCTGTTTTCGGATGATCATGTCCAGGGCTGCCCCATATTTCCCGTTTTGGTGGTTTTAAAGACCTTGCTGGCCCAAAGGGGAACCCTGTGTCTGGTGCTCTTTTTTTTTGGGTCAATGAAAGAATGGCATGGGGAAGCAAGCCGCCTGCCTCGGTGCCTTTTTGGGTGACTCTCACATCAATCCATACCCGGCCAGTGGTTTCCCTTAGCTTGGCTCCCAGCCATTTGGCTTCTTAGCTTTTTTGAGCTCGGCTATGTCATTAGGATTCGGGATCTTGGGCTCTGTAAAGAACATTCGCACACGGACAGACTGCCGGGTTTTTGGGCTCCCAACAAGGGCCCCGGGCGGGGGGGGGGGTCCATGTTTATTTTCGGACAAGTTGAATTGCCAACGCTGATTTCTTGTCATGCATCAATTTCAGAAGCTGTAATTAAAGCAGACTCTGGATCCAACTTGAGATCCACATGGTGCGAAGAAAATTACACCAGCAGAGACCCCAAACAGTTGAGGGCTGACGGGTGAGCACAAACATGCCAACAGCTTGTGGCTTTCTGCGCTTCAACACGGATGAATCAAAATGATGCAGTCGTGAACCTGGCGCGCGTTGCGTTGCTGCACGTGTGTTGCTGGCGTGCTTCGCGCTTCAGCACCGCGCCAGAACTGAGGTTGGGCAAGCGCGCGCGATGGCGGGCGAGCGCGCGCGCGCGCGCGTGAACGCAAGTGTGGCCGCGCAAGCACGCAGTCACATGGGCAGTTCAAACACACATGTCCAATTCAGACACACATGTGTGTACACGTGGAACACACATACGTATACGACTGAAACAGTATACATTCACCTGCGGCACACGCATAAATGTGTTGAGCTGGAAAACAAACATGTGCTTCTTGGAAAGCACACACACACATGTGCAAACGTGGAACGCACATATGTGTTCACTTACGACACGCTAATGCGTTCACGTGGAACACACATGTGTGTTCACTTGGAACACAATGAAACGCGTGTCCAATTCAGACACACATGTGTGTACACGTGGAACACACATGCGTTCACCTGGAACACAAAGACGCGCAATTAAAGCACACATGTGTGTACGCGTGGGACACACATATGTATACCACTGGAACACAAACATGTGTCCACCTGGAACACCGCGTGTGCGATTAAAGCACACATGTGTGTACATGTGGAACACACATATGCGCACACGTGAGCAAACATAAATGCTCACCTAAATCGCACACACATGCGCGCACCTCGAAAACAATCATGCGTTTTCTGGAGCGCATACATGTGCACACCTGGAGAGCAAATATGTCGTCAGATGCCAAAAAAAGTTCACCTAGCACATACTAATGTGTTCACGTGAAACACACATCTGTTCACCTGGAACACAAACACGTGTCCAATTGGAACACACATGTGCGTACACGTGGAACACACATATGTGCACACGTGAACACGCATATGTGCACACGTGAACACTCACATATATGTGCACCCGGAACACACACCCGTGTGCTCATCTGATAACAACCATGTGTTCTCCTGGAACACAAACACGTGTCCAATTGGAACACGCATGTGTGTACACGTGAACACACATATGTGTACACGTGGGAGACGCAAATGCGCACACGTGAACACACACACATGTGCACACGTGGAACACACACATGTGTACTGCACATGTGAACACACACATTTATGCGCGCGCGGAAAACACAGACACACACGAGTGTTCATCTGATAACAAACACGTGGTCTCCTGGAACACAACCGTGTGTCTAATTGGAACACAACCGTGTGTACACGTGAACACACATATGTGTACACGTGAACACACACATATTTATATATATATATATGCGCACCCGGAACACACACACACACGTGCGTTCATCTGAAAACAAACATGTATTCACCTGAAACACAAACACGTGTCCAATTGGAACAAACATGTGTGGACACATGAACTCACAAATGTGTACATGTGGAACACACATATGTGTGCAAATGAACACACATACATGCGCACGCGGAGCAGACACACACACACACACACGCGTTCATCTGATAACAAACATGTGTCCTCCTGGAACACAAACACGTGTCCAGTTGGAACGCACATGTGTGCACGCGCGAACACACAATGTGTGCCGTGAACACACATACAAAAAAGTGCACGCGGAGCAGACACACACACACGTGTTCATCTGATAACAAACATGTGTTCTCCTGGAACACAACCGTGTGTCTAATTGGAACACATACGTGTGTACACGTGAACACACATATGTGTACACGTGAACACACACATATTTATATATATATATATATGCGCACCCGGAGCACACACACACACACACGTGCGTTCATCTGAAAACAAACATGTATTCACCTGAAACACAAACACGTGTCCAATTGGAACAAACATGTGTGGACACATGAACTCACAAATGTGTGCACGTGGAACACACATATGTGTGCAAATGAACACACACACATGCGCATGCGGAGCAGACACACACACACGTGTTCATCTGATAACAAACATGTGTCCTCCTGGAACACAAACACGTGTGCAGTTGGAACGCACATGTGTGCACGCGCGAACACACAATGTGTGCCGTGAACACACATACAAAAAAGTGCACGCGGAGCAGACACACACGCACGTGTTCATCTGATAACAAACATGTGTTCTCCTGGAACACAACCGTGTGTCTAATTGGAACACAGACGTGTGTACACGTGAACACACATATGTGTACACGTGAACACACACATATATACGCGCACCCGGAACACACACACACGAGTGTTCATCTGAAAACAAACATGTGTTCACCTGGAACACAAACACGTGTCCATTGGAACACACATGTGTGTACACGTGAACACACATATGTGTACACGTGGGAGACGCAAATGCGCACACGTGAACACACACATGTGCACACGTGCAACACACACATGTGTACTGCACATGTGAACACACACATTTATGCGCGCGCGGAAAACACAGACACACACGAGTGTTCATCTGATAACAAACACGTGTTCTCCTGGAACACAACCGTGTGTCTAATTGGAACACAGACGTGTGTACACGTGAACACACATATGTGTACACGTGAACACAGCACACGTGGAACACACACATGTGTACTGCACATGTGAACACACACATTTATGCGCGCGCGGAAAACACAGACACACACGAGTGTTCATCTGATAACAAACACGTGTTCTCCTGGAACACAACCGTGTGTCTAATTGGAACACAGACGTGTGTACACGTGAACACACATATGTGTACACGTGAACACACACACATATATATGCGCACCCGGAACACACACACACGTGCGTTCATCTGAAAACAAACATGTATTCACCTGAAACACAAACACGTGTCCAATTGGAACACACATGTGTGGACACGTGAACACACAAATGTGTGCACGTGGAACACACATATGTGTGCAAATGAACACACACACATGCGCATGCGGAGCAGACACACACACACACGTGTTCATCTGATAACAAACATGTGTCCTCCTGGAACACAAACACGTGTCCAGTTGGAACGCACATGTGCGCACGCGTGAACACACAATGTGTGCACGTGAACACACATACAAAAAAAGTGCACGCGGAGCAGACACACACGCACGTGTTCATCTGATAACAAACATGTGTTCTCCTGGAACACATACACGTGTCTGATAAGAACACACATGTGTGTACACGTGAACACACATATGTGTACACGTGCAACACGCATATGTGCGCACGTGAACGCACATATGTGTACATGTGGAACACACATATGTGCACACGCGAACACACACACACATATATATATATATATGCGCGCCCGGAACACGCACACACACACATGCGTACACCTGGAACACATATGTGTGTATGTCTGGAAAGCACATTTCTGTTCACCTGCAACACACATATGTGTTCACCTGGAACCCATATATGCGCTCACTTGGAACAGGCATTTGTGTTCACGTGCGACACTGGTGCAGACCTGGATCACACAAGCATGTTTAACCAGAACAAACTTCTGTGTTGACTTGTAACACACATATGTGTACACATGGAACACACGTGTGTGCACATGTGGAGAAACATGTGCAACACAAATGTGCAACACACATGCGTTCACCTGGACAACAAAAATGTGTTCACATGGAATTTACATTTCCTGCACGCCTGGGCGACACATAAATCAAGTTCCCGAAGCCGGCTGTGAGGCGCTATTCCATGGGGCTCTGCCTTGAACAACGCTTGTGTTTTATATGCGTGTTCCAAGTAGGAAAATAGTGTTCGTGTACGATCAATCTAGCTTTTTTGCAACACATTGCTAGCGCGCGAGCCTGCTGCTGCTGCTGCTGCTACTACTGCTAGTACTATCAGTATCGGATGCGTCTCCAGCAGTTACAGGCTTCAGCTTAGCAAAAGCTTTCCGGCGCATTGCGCTTCTTTCTCGCTTAGCTGCACAGTGTCTTTCGTATCGATTGCTAAAGTGCTTTGATCGTATTGTGGCAACTCTTCGTATCGATTCAGTAAAGCATTTGCTTTCGCAGGGAAATACGCAACCCAATTCTTCCGTATGCTCGGTACAAGGCATCCCTGCCGTCTTGCCTCAGCCGTTGTTTCTCCCCTTTGTCCAGCAAATCGCACTCCATGATAATTGCATGCGAGGAGAGCGGAAGCAAATTTGGATTGAAGCGTAACTGGGAACCGGTCACAGCTGACCACTGCGCTAGCGCCTTGCTAGCGCGCGGCTAGCGCGGGTTCGCCGTATTTTTTGGAGTCACGGCGACCATCTGTGTGGATTTGACAAATTAAGGCCACGTAAGATGAAGGTAAACGTGCGGGCTGGCTTCAAGTACTAAGTAAGAACTGCAACATTACACCCTTGAAAGCCACGCAAAGCCCATCGCGGCAACCCACGCGCCAACTCTTGGAAACCAAGATCACCGAAGACCCTAGCGCAAACCAAGCGCCATCCTAGCGCCTCCAGTGGGGAGCGGGCAATCCATTGGTATTTGCAGGACTCCGCTTTGTGTGAATGAAAAACTGCACAAAGTGACTGCGACGGTGGCCTCTGTAGACTAAACCCCCTTACTAGGAATTTTGACCGGATCGCATATGTGTTTTATCAGAACAATCGCATGCTTTCACCTGGAACACAAACATGTGCTGACGTGGAACACACTCATGTGGTCACATGCAAAAAGTGCGTGTTCACTTGGAACGCGCCGATGTGGTCAGCTGGAACACACCAAGAACACACAATCATTTACTTGAAGCACTCGTACGTGCATCCGCAGCATGCTGCCTGTGGCTTGATCAAGCGCACGCGCGCGCTCAAACACACGTTTCTGAGCCTCAAACACACATGCGTGCCCGCGGAATACACCGCGAATGACCAGGGAGCCGTGCCAGGCATCCAGGCTGGGGGACAACAAGAAGGAGACAAAGGGAGACAAATGAACCCGTCCGCCCGGAGAGCCGTGCCAGACATCCAAGCTGGGAGACAAACGAATCCGTCCACCCAGAGAGCCGTGACAGGCATCCAGGCTGGGAGACAACCGGGGCCAAATAAAGGGAGACAAAGGGAGACAAATGAATCTGTCAGGCAAATGAAGGGAGAGGAACCCGTCCGCCGGGAGAGCCGGGACAACCCCAGGTGCCAAGAGCACCACTGGGTATCTCGGCGTAGGTTCGTTGAACATCATCAAAGAATCGATAGACGATTTAACTCCAGCGTGATTCACGTTTGTTTCACCGGGGGGTTAACAGAGCCTTCTCGTAGCTGAAGCCGTGCACCGCAGCGCACCGCTCTCGTCAGCTCGGGACTCCAAATGCGAGCAAGGACAGAGAAAGGCCGCAACTGATAACGAGGCACTGAACGAACAGACAGGGTGTAGCCAACGATAGACAAGGAAGACGACCCACCACGAGCCCAAGCAAAATCGAAGCCCAGATGAAGGGCAGACAGAGGACCCTGTGCCCAACATCCACAAGACAAGGAATGACCGAAGCCAGGGCCGAAGCCGAACGCAAACCAGACCCCGCCAAAAGGACAGAGCCGCGGGAAGTGAAGGAAACCGCGGAGCGTGAGTGCCACACATCCAGGCTGGGAGACAACGGGAGACAAATGAATCCGTCCACCCAGAGGGGCATCCAGGCTGGGAGACAACGGGAGACAAACAAAGGGAGACAAAGGGAGACAAATGAATCCGTCCACCCAGAGAGGCATCCAGGCTGGGAGACAACGGGAGACAAATACAGGGAGACAAAGGGAGACAAATCAATCCGTCCACCCGGGAGCAAGTGAATCCGTCCGCCTGGAGAGCCGTGACAGACATCCAGGCTGGGAGACAACGGGAGCCAAATGGGAGACAAAGGGAGACAAGTGAAACTGTCCACCCAAAGAGCCGTGCCAGGCATCCAGGCTGGGAGACAACGGGAGACAAATGAAGGGAGACAAAGGGAGACAAGTGAATCTGTCCGCCTGGAGAGCCGTGCCAGACATCCAGGCTGGGAGACAACGGGAGACAAATGAAGGGAAACAAAGCCCAGAGAGCCGTGCCAGACAAATGAAGGGAGACAAAGGGAGACAAATGAACCCGTCCACCCAGAGAGCCGTGCCAGACAAATGAAGGGAGACAAAGGGTGACAAATGAACCCGTCCACCCAGAGAGCCGTGCCAGGCATCCAGGCTGGGAGACAACGGGAGACAAATGAAGGGAGACAAAGGGAGACAAATGAACCCCTCCACCCCAGAGAGCCGTGACAGGCGTCCAGGCTGGGAGACAACCGGGGCCAAATAAAGGGAGACAAAGGGAGACAAATGAATCCGTCAGGCAAATGGAGGGAGAGGGAGACAAATGAACCCGTCCGCCGGGAGAGCCGGGACAACCCCAGGTGCCAAGAGCACCACTGGGTATCTCAGCGTAAGGTTCGTTGAACATCCTCGAAGAATCGATAGAGGATTTAACTCCAGCGTGATTCACGTTTGTTTCACCGGGGGGTTAACAGAGCCTTCTCGTAGCTGAAGCCGCGCACCGCAGCGCACCGCTATCGTCAGCTCGGGACCGCAACTGATAACGAGGCACTGAACGAACAGACAGGGTGTAGCCAACGATAGACAAGGAAGACGACCCACCACGAGCCCAAGCGAAATCGAAGTCCAGATGAAGGGCAGACAGAGGAGGACCCTGTCCCCAACATCCACAAGACAAGGAATGACCGAAGCCAGGGCCAAAGCCGAAGGCAAACCAGACCCCGCCAAAAGGACAGAACCGCGGGAAGTGAAGGAAACCGCGGAGCGTGAGTGCCACACATCCAGGCTGGGAGACAACGGGAGACAAATGAATCCGTCCACCCAGAGAGCCGTGCCAGGCATCCAGGCTGGGAGACAACGGGAGACAAATAAAGGGAGACAAAGGGAAACAAATGAATCCGTCCACCCACAGAGATGGGAGACAAATGAAGGGGAACCAAGGGAGACAAGTGAATCCGTCCGCCTGGAGAGCCGTGACAGACATCCAGGCTGGGAGACAACAGGAGCCAAATGAAGGGAGACAAAGGGAGAAAAGTGAATCTGTCCACCAAAAAAACAGTGCCAGGCATCCAGGCTGGGAGACAACGGGAGACAAATGAAGGGAAACAAAGGGGTGCGAGATATTGTGGGAGACGAGAGCCGCGCCAGGCATCCAGGCTGGGAGACAACGGGAGACAAATGAAGGGAGACAAAGGGAGACAAATGAACCCGTCCACCCAGAGAGCCGTGCCAGGCATCCAGGCTGGGAGACAACGGGAGAAATCAAGGGAGACAAAGGGAGACAAATGAACCCGTCCACCCAGAGAGCCGTGCCAGGCATCCAGGCTGGGAGAGAACGGGAGACAAATGAAGGGGACAAAGGGAGACACATGAACCCGTCCACCCAGAGAGCCGTGCCAGATCCAGGCTGGGAGACAACGGGCGACAAATGAAGGGAGACAAAGGGAGACAAGTGAATCTGTCCACCCAGGCATCCAGGCTGGGAGACAACGGGAGACAAATGAAGGGAGACAAAGGGAGACAAATGAACCCGAGCCGCGCCAGGCATCCAGGCTGGGAGACAAATGAAGGGAGACAAAGGGAGACAAATGAACCCGTCCACCCAGAGAGCCGTGCCAGGCATCCAGGCTGGGAGACAACGGGAGACAAATGACAAAGGGAGACAAATGAACCCGTCCACCCAGACTGGATCATCCAGGCTGGGAGACAACGGGAGACAAATGAAGGGAGACAAAGGGAGACAAGTGAACCCAGGGAGACAAACGAACGCGTCCACCCAGAGAGCCGTGCCAGGCATCCAGGCGGGGAGACAACGGGAGACAAATGAAGGGAGACACAGGGAGACAAATGAACCCGTCCACCCAGAGAGCTGTGCCAGGCATCCAGGCTAGGGCTTGGCAACAGGCGAGCCACCTTAAATGAATTTAGAACCCCTCACAGTAAACTGTTTGGGGAAAAACATCTTGCATTTGGTGTTTTTTCTTTCCCCATGGCCTGCTTGCTTTCTCGCCATGGCCTGCTTGCTTTCTCGCAATGGCCTGCTTGCGTACCCACCTCTGGCAGACTCTGGAAATTTGGTTCACGTCGGATTCGCCGCCACGCGCCCGTCCGATTCGCGAGTCGAGGTGCCCAAGAACCTTCAGCGCGAGCACAGGCGGATCGCGCATTCCGGATCGATGGGTTCCGTGCTGTGTGTCTTGAAGGCTGGACCCCTCAACATGGCTTAAAGGTGTTTCCCTTTGATTGCCCTTTGAAACCAACCAAAAGGGGGTGCCCTGAAAAAATGGAACCGCACCTATATGTCGTTTTGGAAACCAACATTTGGACAATAGATGTGGTTTCCTCAGAATCCCAGTTGGTTTTTACACCTGGATCCTTTCGTGAGAACTTGTCGGCGGTTTCCCAAGGACCCGGCATTTTTGTTTTCTTGCTTTGCTGGCAGGGCAGGGTCGGCAACCAGTGGTCATGCTACGCGAACACTCACTGTCTGCTTTCAGAAGCCGATTCCCAGTTCGAAAAAAGCAAAGACTCAGTTGAGGAGTCACCCCTTTTTTCCCAAGTTCGGTGTTTTTTTGACCTTTCTAACTTGGTATATATATATATATATATACTCACATTTCCCCTAGCAAGTGGAATCGCCTTGCACTCGGCTTCCCCAAAGTCGCGCCGTCGCCTCGCCCGGCCCAGGGACCGCCTCAACACCTCGCAGCTCAGCAAGCTCAAGAAGGCCGCGAGCGCTCGCCGCGTGCGGTGGCTTCTGGTTGAGATGTGACTGGTATGCCTTTTCCATTTTGAGGGAAAATCCCCGGCGTTTTTTTTTTTTTGGCAAAAGGGCGCCTTTCATGTCTATTTTTGTTTGGAGGGGGTCCTCTATATATTTATATTTATATTAATTTGTCGTTTTGATGCCACTGACCTATACTTCATTCACAGTTCCTTTTCTGGATGACTCTGCTGCTAGAAGCTCAAACAAGGTAATTCAAGGCTCCTGACCTTCCTCTCGATCATCCCCAGGACAAGACTAAGGCAAAGCACTTCTTCAACGTTGTTGGCCCTATAGCAATCGATGCTACTTTGCAAGCTCAGGGCAGTAACGCGGCTAAGGATGTCCGCTTTGCGGACATGCCAGCGCCCTTTCACTTCTCCTGGTATGTCATATAGTCTTCAACTTCCTCTTCCTCTTCCTAATGGGCAGCACTTCCTCCTGAAGCACATCATCTTCCCGGATCAAGAGATGCCCGTAGGGCTTTCCTGAAAGCTTTGCAGCGCGAGGCTTCTATGAACATGCTTGGCAATCTGTCTCCGAGTAAAGGCTTTGAATTTGCTTTGCATGTTTTTGAGCCTGTGCACCTTTTGAGAACCCAAAGCTCCAAAACCTGCACAGTCTCAAATGAATACAACAAATGCAACCATCTAGACCAATCAAGCCCTGACCTCCGACGTTGCATCTTGTCTTTGTTTTTGCATTTTTTTGAGCCTGCGCACGTTTTACGAACCCAAAGCTCTAAAACCTGCACAGACTAATCAAATGCAAAGCATCCTAAGCTAAAAGCTCTGAAACCTGCACAGGCTCAAACAAGTGCAAGAAACGCACACATCTAGACCAATCACTCCAAATCCTGCACAGGCTCAAACACATGCAACAATCCCAAAGCTGCAAGCTCTGAAACCTGCGCAGGCTCAAAAAATGCCAAGCATGCAACAGTCTAGACCAATCAAGCTCTGACCTCTGACATTGCATCTGGATTTTGCATTTTTTTTTTGCATTGTTTTGATCTGGCAGGTTTTGGAACTTTCAGGTTTGGATTTTTTGCATTTTATTTGAGCCTCCGCATGTTGTAAGAACACAAAGCTCCAAAACCTGCACAGGCTCAAACAAATGCAACAAATCCTAAGCTAAAAGCCCTGAATCCTGCGCAGGCTCACAAAATGCCAAGCATGCAAAAGTCTAGACCAATCAAGCCCTAACCTCTGACATTGCATCTGGGTGTTGCTCTTTTTTTGAGCCTGTGCAGGTGTTGGAGCTTTCAGGTTTGGATTTCTTCCATTTTTTTGAGCCTGCGCATGCTTTTAAGAACCCCTGGCACAATATAAACAATCACAGTTTTCTCTGCAAGGCATCTGCAAACCAAGTGGACACTGAACATCTGCAAATATATCTCTCTTGCGCAACAAGTAGAACCGTGGGTGGGGGGGAGGCTGACTGGAAACCACTGCTGATATGGTGATAGTTTCGGGCATGTTTGCGCATTTGCATGGGGCGTTTCGGGCGCTGGGGTCGTTCAATGTCAGCCTTTTTTAATAAAGGGATCTCCCCCTCTTTCCTTTTGTTTCTTTTCAGGGAGGGGGGGCGGTTGGGATAAAAGACTCCCGGTCCAATTTGTGTTACTTTGTATTACTACAGCACTGCTTGTAGTACTTGTAGTGCTGCTTGTAGTACTTTGCAGCACTCCGTAGTTTTTGTAGTACTTGCAGTATGCTTAAAAGTACAGTGCACCAGACACAAATATGGCCTTGGGGAAGTTTATTAGTACTTTTCCTTGGATCACCTTTGGAGACACCGTGGAGTGTCATAGAGTGTGGGTTAGTATTGGCCATCTTATACGCAGATTTTGCAATCTAAGAAACCAGCTTACAGGAATTTCTGGTGGGTTGGCAAACTTCCTGTAAAAGCTGCTCGGGTTCATTGTTCAAAGCAGCGACCCCAAAAAAAACACGAAAACAGCACCTTTCCCTGGGCCTCCGCATGGTGCTGAACTCGCAGAGGCCTGCTTTTTGTTCTTTGTTCTCGTTTGAAGGGCACCCTTTTTTTGGGGGATGGTTGTGGAAACCAAAAGGAGCACCGTGCAACCTTACTACGCATGCAATGTATGGAATAGATGTATGCACATATTGGTACGTCCCAAGACCTATGATGATATCTACATGTGTATGTGTAGTGGTTTGGACCCCTTACTAAGCAACGACAGCTACCCACCTCATGGATCAAAGCTTTGAATGAGGCTCAGATGTGGGACTTGTCGCCAGTTTGGGTGATTTCCCTTTGGTTTACATTGACAGCAACCCCAACCGCGGTGCCCGCAAGAACAAACGTCGACATCTTAGCGGGTTCGTTTTCTACTCAACCGGCGAAGCGACAGGCGAACATGATCTCCTTCCCCTTCTCAGGCAGGGAGGGGTGATGGTACGGCTGATTTTCAAGCTCCTCGAGTACCATCTTGTCAACAATGAATCAAGGAAGTGGCCACATTTAGTTGCGGTTATGCTGATGCACAGAATCCACTCATCGTTGTGCTCACGACGTCCAGGTTGGCTTGAGAGGGCGGCCTGAAAGGAAAACAGGGTATCTGAGCTGGTGCGATTTTTTGCGCTGGGGGACCCTTTGGTGAAATCAGATTCGGTGGATTCACGTCCACCAACCAGCCTAAGATGGTGGTGCCCTATTAAAGATCATACCCGTCGCGGTTTGTGCCTGCCATATTCCATGAAGGTCTCTGGAGAAGAAGTGGTTGTTTGGGGGAACCCACTTGGCTGGGCCGAAAATCCAACTCGACTTTCCGGCAATACCAAACTAGAGGTCGGACAAGAACACTGAATTTTGGGTCTCCTCCATTTTGTTTTCTTCTTCTTTTTTTTTTGGGGGGGGGGTTGGGCCAAGGAGCTTCCATTTGGTGGAGGCTTAGCGCAGCTTGTACATGGTTTTGGGTTGCAAGGGAGGCATCCGATGCAGAGCTCGACCCATCCCTTTGCCAGGTGAGGGCACGGGCTTCCGCAGTCAAGGCGTGACATGGTCCAGATGTTCTGAGAGTCTCGACATGGGATTGTCTGAAAAATGGCGGGGGCGGGGGGGGGGGGGGACCCTTTTGGTTGGTAGCTAAAGGGAAAAGAAAAGGACACCAACCATTCTAGGGGACCACTATTTCAGGAGCTTGGAATGCGCAAGATGGCAAAGAAGAAGAAACGCCAGCTAAATTCTTGGAGGTCGGGGTTGACATGAACAGATGGACTTTCAGACCAGTCCACCCCAAGGGGTTCTGGGCTCCCTTGGCACTCCGAAAAGGGCCCCCCAATTGGAAACAGACTCGTGCGACTCCCTGGCTGACATGCCAAGGCAATGTAGCAGTGATTTCTTCCGCGTCATTTGCCATCAATTTTAGTTGAGGCTGTTGAGTGTTGTTTTTTTGGTCTTTTAGTGACAGATCAGTTCAGCACCTTCCAACCTTGTTTGTAAATTGCGGGCAAAGGTCGAGAATGAAGAGGCATCTTTATCTGATGTCTGGGCTGCAATTGCTTGATTGATCTCAAGGATTCAATGCAGCAAGGTGGATTCTCTCAGTGCCCTGAATTTGGAAACATATCATGAAACTGATCACTATCCTGAGACCGCACAACTATGAAGCAGTTCATTCCCAACAAGATGTTTTGCCCCCCCCCCCCCCCACTTTAAGTGACACTACATATCAACCTGGAGCCAAAAGGGGGGCGTTGATCGAGAGAGTGCCGTCTCCGGGACGCCGTTCGCATGGAAATTCGATTCGGCTGAACAGAGGGACAGTGCAAGGATCGTCTGTCTTTTGGTGTTGGAATCATCTTGGAGGTATGAAACCCCAAATGGTACCACCAGGTGGGGGGGTGGAAAGGGGGGGCGTAGGCCGGAATCACCACATGGGCATGGATCAAGATTAAACCACCAGGAATTGGACTGCAGGTTTTGGTCCATGTTTCCACTTACCAGGGCAACCCATTTTGGGGCTGCCCTATTTTTGACCCATAGCCACATCGCCACATCGCCAGGCTCCTTGAACAATTGGTTCCCCAGCGGAAGCTACGAGAACGTCCCCACCTCGTGCGCCATGCAGCGGTTGCTTGCGACTCGGGTGCAGCTTTTTTGGCGCCGGCGCGGCGAAGTTTGGTGGAAAAAACGACTCAGTTTGTTGGTGGCTCCCAGCCATCCGGTTCCTTAGCTTTTTAGCCTTTTAGTGTTTAGTGGTAGTTTCCATTTGACCCACTAAAAGTTAAAAGCTTTTAGCGGGGGATCTGAGGGCAGCCCGGCCCCACAATGATCTCCACCTTTTGTCCCCAAAAAGTCATGTCCACATTTGGGGGCAGCTGAGGGCAGTCAACGCCAGGTGAGCGTTCGCAGGGAGATACCCTCCAATTGGTCAGTTGCTTTGGTGGTTTGGAGATGTTGGGGGTGGCTTCCCATTTCTCCTCTTGTTCAGGGGTTCAAATTTCCAAACAGATCCAAACCACCCAGGTTACCAGAAAGGTCAAAGAATGGAAGCCCGCTTGAGGTTTGACTGAGCCTCCCACTGCATTCTTTTGGGGGGTCCAAAGCCGATGCTCTTGAAACCAATCACAGGCATCACACCTGCAACTGTTTGCTCATGGTGGCTTCTCAAACACCCATTTCCTATGAAGATCCCCTTATGGAATCTAGACATTTTGGCAACAACCATCTGAAAGCTGCAGGTCTGAACGGAACGGCTCGTGTCCTGAAAGGGGCCAATTGGGTGCTCCAAGGAAACCAAGAAAACGCCAGAGGACGCCGTTGACTTTTGGGGTTTAGTGTGCTGCCCCCTTTATAGGGTTGGTTTTTCAGGCATCAAAAGGACACTGGGAAGCCACTTGGGAGTGTGTCGGGTTGTCGCACGGCACCGTCCCCTGTTTGTTTTTGCAAAGGGGACCCTTTCCGGGGTTGGTTTAATGGGAAACGAAAGGGACGCCAAAACAAGTCACAAAGGCCTCACCGCGCCACTTCATGGGCGAGGTACCGGCTCCACTTCAGTCGGCCAGGCGAGGGCTCGAGGGCTCGGCTGCCTGAGCTGGGTGCTCCCACGGCCATCTGCCGAATTGCAGGGGGTCTTTTTCACCAATCCAGTTGTGCGACCATCAGGCTCAAAGATGGGGCATGGGGTCAGACGTCAAGTCTTGGAAGTGCTGTCCCACAAGAAAGTGGGAAGCATGCAATTTGAGCTTCCTGTATCTCTCCGCTGTAGTGGAGGTTATAGCAAGGTATATAAACCTTTGCATCCATCTTGATTGAGCAAATGTGAATGGGTCTGGGGCGCTGCTCTGTTGATTGTTCTTGCATTACTAACTACGACCAAAATTAGTGAACACTAGTACCAACATCATTCAGAAACTACGACAATACGTTCAAAGCCGCCCCAAAACTGACTAGGACCAACATGACTCAGAAACTACGACCACCATGAGAGGGTTACCTTGATTGGATGCTTGAATGGCTAGGGATGTTAAGACACTCTTTGTGGGAATCCCAAAAGGGAAGGTTCTTTTTGGGAGGTGTGCCAAACTTGGCTCATATACATACAACCATTGGATGATATACATGTTTACATGTGCACAGGGGGTGAGTTTAGGGTTTGGGGTGAACCTATAGGGCAGCGATACCCACACATCCAATGCAACTGTCACTTTGACGAGCGACTACGAAATGTGGCAGGCTTCTTCCGCGCCAACTCGCCATACCTTCAGAAGGCGACGAAATCCGAAACTGGCTGGCCGGTTGGCCGGTTTCTTCGACACGATCGAGGGTTCCACCCGCAAATCACCCACACGGGAATTAGGATTTGTAGAACCACTGATCATTTGACATGTTTGACTTGTCGTTCAACAGCATGCTGTGCCCGACTCAGCGACCCAGCGGCAAGCTGGGCGGCACCCCTTTTGGGATCGAGTTCCCCCGTTCCCCCAAACGGGGCCCTTCAGAGGTCCCGTGGAAGAAGGTGTGTGGCTCCATTTGGGAGGGACATGGAGATTCTCGAACTAGGGGACTGCTTTTTGGATGGGGCCAAAAGGAAACCCAACCTATCTGGAGGGGTTCCTCTTTTTGAAACATCCACGTGGGGGAGATTCTTTTGATGGCCCGCAAGCGGTGCGCAGGTCTTTTTCTCGGATCTCTGGAGCCGATCGAACGGGGGGCCTGAAGATGTTTTTCCTTGGCTGGGAAAAACTCCTTGGGAAGTTCGCAATGGGGATGTGTTCAGTTAGCTTCTTTGCGCGTGGCGTATGGTTGCTCCGGTCGCGCAGTGGCGGACAGCCTCGGCGTTTCGGGGGCGATTGTTCAAGGAAAACGATCGCGGCCGGGCGAGCGAGGCGATACGACTTCTTGAGGGAAGCGGATGTCAACCGAAGTTGGGGCATGTCGGGTGCAGAGCCTCTGATTGTTTTGGAGGGCCTCTGATTGTTTTTTGGTTTAGAACGGAAGCCAAGGGAGCCGGATTCATTCCCATGTTGAGAGGCCATTTGACGGCCTAGGATGAACAAAGTTGGAGTCAAGCATTGACGGCCCAAGCGCCTGCTTGTCTCCCGGCTCATATCTTCAGGGATCTCTACCCTCCAACAAACATGGAAGTGGACAGGGGGGATATGAAGGTTAGTGGGCCGTTGTTTGGTTCTTTACCCATGGCTGACTTCTGGAATGCCAGGTTTCGGTTTAAAGTGTATCTTAGTGCTTCCCCAAAGGGAGTAAGGAATGGCTTGAATTGCTCCCGCGCCGGACCACGAGCAAACTTGTGGGTGAACCCCGGCAAAGGAGGGGGCACTTGGGCAAGTGGTTTGCCACCAACTCGTCCGCGCCAAAAAAGGGCCTGGCGGGTCACTTTTCATCTCCAGGATGTTTCTTGCGAGTTTGCCATCCCTTTTGGTGAAGGGATTCGTTTTCTGCCAGGTGGTTTCTCCTGTTGCAGTGGTGTGCGGCAGGGGAACGTGAACCCTCGACCCCTTGCCTCTACGAATGAAATGGATTTGCACACGCTCCCTTTCCAAAACGCAAGCTGTTGGATTTGGGCTCCCTGTGTTTCCTGTGTAAGGGCCGAAGTGTTGCCAAGCTGCCAACAGGATCCCCGCCATCCCTGGGTGTGTCCTTTTTCAGGTGACCTGTCAAAATGGCTTCGGTTTCCCTTTGGTTTCCCTTTCAAACCACCTCCCCCAAAGCGGGTAGCCTCGAGAAATTGGCACGAAGTTCCCTCGAACAATTGACACCATTTCCCGGTGCCATTCTCTGCAGCGCTGGTTTCCCTTTAAAACACCACCCCCAAAAAGGTTGCCCTGGCAACAAGACACACCATTTCCCGGTGTCATTCCCTTCAGCGCCTCGAAAAAGTCCCCGCCACGCGCCTCGTCGTCGCCGTTTTTCGCCTTGCGCTTTTCGCGCGCCTTTCGCCTCGGTTTTCGCGCAGTCGGCGTCCGGTCCGCTGGACCTGTCGGCGGCAAATGCAGACCTCCACTAGGTGCGAGGCGGGCCGGGCCTTGGGGGCATGGGACGTGGTGACTTGGCTGCGGACACGGGATACATGAGCCCCCGGTTGATTCATAGGGGCAATTTGGAGGAGTCAGATTCACTCTTTTTCTTGTTTGTTGATAACACTAATGATGCTGATAGTAATGAAATGAGTTGTTATTTTGGAACCGGGGGGGGCCAAGAACACTATCCTGTTGGTAGAAGCTGCAGTGCCCTGGGAAGTCAGAAGCCGCCCTGGAACCTGGAAGCGCAACTCAAAGGGCAACTCACCCCCCTTCCGCAGCTTCCGGCTGTTCGCCTGAGGGAGGGTACACCAGAGAGCCGCTACTGTACCCCCTAGTGCTGTGCAAAATGGAGGCTTAGGCCAATCTGATTGTCCATAATGCCTATGTCCACCAACCCCTATGGGGAATTGACTGGACGGAGGACCTTTACGTAGCCCGAGTCAGGATTAAAGATTGCCTTTGAGCAGTTCAGTTCAGCAAGGAAGTTGGAGATCGGCACGGCTCAGAAGCCGTTTGAGCTGATTCCGGTCTACCTTTGACAAGACATACACAACCCTGGCGAAAAATGTGTGTGTTAGCCGCGATTGGTACTGATTGACCTTGGCTCGCAGCCCTACTAGGTAGTAGTAGCAGAGCCCAAGTGAGAGAAGTCTCGCGCCTCGCGTTCCGGACTTCTTCTTGGTTCCCCAGGCCCAAGGGTGCAATTGACAAAGATCCAGCCTCATGTGCCACTGTTCGACGTTGAAGGAAGTTGGAGCAGCGCAGTGGTGGATGCCGTCTGTTGAAGCGGTCTCCCACAAGATGGTGGGCCTCCCCGAAGCACAAACCTTTCCTTCCGCTGGAGGAACTAACCTTTTCTTGCTGGTGCTCCGTAGGGAATGACCTTCCGGGTGTTGGGAATGAACCGGAAGGGGATTCCCTGAAAGGAAACCACCACTTGGACAGGTGGTAGGTGTCATTCCCTCGTTCCCTGCTGAGAACCAGCAAGTTTTTCCCGGTAGCAAGCAGGTTTTGCTTTTGCCACGCTCATCGACCACCCGGAGGTCTGAATGAATAGGCAGGATTGGCAGGATTATCCCCCCCAACCGCCCGCGGTTTGCCGAAACGGCCATTTTCATGTTCCGGAAAGAACAAGTTGGAGCTCAAATCGAGACCAGAAAAGAAATGTAGACCGCTACTCTAGGACATATGTACCTGCAATGCTTACACTATCATCAACGGATTGGGATCATGCGACCAGCGAATCCATCAGATATCAGAGCTGTGAGAGGTATCCGTTCCGACCGGGGCACTTGTGGGGTTTCGGCACCTGCTCGAATGAGGCCCATGGGTGATTCCCCCCTTCAAGACGGCCAGGTTCCATTTGGTTTCTCGAAATCACCCCAACAAGGGCAGCCTCCAAGGAATGCACATGAGCAACGGACTATTTACCAAGGCATTTGTTTTGGGTCGGCCCGGCCATCGATTTTCGGTTGTTCAGGTTGATCATATTCGTATTGGCATTTTCTGGATTTCCCACTTGGAAGTGGGATTCTCGGAATAAAGCCGGTCTCGAATTTGGACATGGCCATAGAGTTGGCAAGTTCTGTCCGGGTTGCGACCCTCTCCACGTCCCTTTGCGGTTTGTGCGCGGGCCTGTTCTGGGTTAGTGGGGCAACCTTCAAACTTTGGTTTCCGTTCGGCTTCCCTTTCACCGGCGGCAAAGGGAGCCCCGCAAAGGATGGAGGAGTCTCGGACTTGGACCAAGTGGGCGGCCTGTTTGCGGGCGGATGTTACTTGGCCGAGAGAGCGATCCAGGCTGAACAGCTGAGAGCCTGTGATTGTAGAGATCCTGCATGGCCGCTTTTTCCCCGGCCGGGGACCGGGCCCCTTAAAGCCACGACGTCGCAGCTTGTGCGTCTTCCATGCCAAGAGATACCGCTGGCATTTCTGGGCGGCTGGTGAGAAGGGGCCCGCCTTTCCCCGCTTTCCGAAGTGGCGCGTCTCACTGTACTGAAATGGCCGCGAAGGCCGCCCTTCAAAGAAGGGCACAAGTGGACGAGGTCCATATGAATGAGCTTACTCGAAGCCATGGTTATACTATTCCTTTTTTTCGTTGTTGCAACATACTTTTGGTCGTCGTTGCAATTGTAGTGATGATGATGAGGACGACGATGATGATGGTGGTGATGGTGATGGTGATGGTGATGGTGGTGATGCTGATGATGATGATGATGATGATGATGATGATGATGATGATGATGATGATGATGATGATGATGATGATGAGGATGATCGTGTATGCTGGCGTTTGTGACTTGAGCTTTTCCCAGCTATTTCCCATCAAGCACATTTTGTGGTGGGACATGGATGTAGTTCTATAGAGCCAGTCCGCCCTACACCTTGGCTATTCGGGGGCGAGGTGTTGTCAGCAACTGGGAGGTTTCCAAGCACCAGTCAGATGGCTTTTGTGGATCCACCCCTGTAGGATATTAAAGAGTACTAAAAGATTACCACAAAGCAAGTGAAAGCAGGTGCAAGAGCAGGTGAAATCCTCGTAAAAAGAACCCCCGCAAATCCAAACCGTTTTTGAGAATTACTTCTTTTGGCCTAAGGCCAAGGCTTGTTTTAGGCTTAAGGCACTGCTAGGAATCGATAGGCAGCAGCTCGTTGATTGCCTAGAGGGAAACCCATTTGGCGTTCCCACTTCTAGGTGCTAAAGTAGATACCCTCCCACCAATTGACGTGGAACCTGACAGAGGGGTCCTGGCAGAAAAATGTTACTTTTAAAATGACACGCATAGCCATTGAAGCAACGGAAACAAAGACCAACACTTTCGTAATCCTACACCGACCCATATGAGGATTTGTCAAACAGACCTGGCTATCCTCTTCAAGGATTCTTCAGTTCAGGATAAGAAACACTGACAGTTATAGGTATTATTGATCGTAGCTATCCATTTAGCATCACTACATACAGTTTACAGATGCTTGACACGCAGCACACCCCTGTACACATAAAACTAACATATACATATATATATATATATATACATATATACACATACACATTATATGCACATCATATATGCTAAACCCCCCTCCCAATGCCAAGGCTTTGCTTTATTTTGACTTGTGGGGCAGACGATGGATGCTTTGCAGACCCAGTACATTCCCTTCAAAGGGCCACTCTGAGCTCGGGGTGTGAGGTTTAGCCAAGGGATTGCGATAGGATTCGGCTCGACATGGACCTTGCCCCGTCGTTTCACCCCGTTTGAAGGATCAACCATGGGAAGCAAAAAGTTTTGACACGGGACCGGCTCACGCGGAAGTGGAAGAAGGGTGGGAGGCCGCCCCAAGGGAAGTCAATAGGTCCTATACAAATTGGGATGAACTTGGTTCGCTTTGATCGCCATGATGCCAAACATTCTACACAGGGCTGCAGGGCTTGCCGCATATCCGCCCTCTCGCTGCGGAAGTTCCCAACCACAACTAAAAGGCGGACCCTGCGGGTTTCTGAACCACATGCGTTCTCACCTGCCGATGAATATGGAACCCGAGCCAGTCATGTCAGGCTCAAGTTTGGGTTTGGGTAAGCCCCTCCCTTTTTGGGTTCCTTCTTTTGATTTGCAGGGGAGTACACGGCCCCAAGGTAATTTGGCGACACCCATGACACATCCTTCCCAAAGACCCCCTCCAAGGGTTGGGGCTCAAGCCTTACGGCCAAAGCGGCAAGGAAAGCCTCGACTGGGGGGGGCGTCACGGCGGTTGGGGTCGGGGTCCCAGATGCCACCAGCGTCAATTTGGGTATGCGTCGAAATACGGGGAATTGCTCCCCCATCTTGAGTGGTTTTCCGTTCAGTTACCAAAACCAAAGAGGGTATATCCTCAAAATCAGGCGCACAGGGCCATGGCAGCAACCCCAGGTGCCTTTTGGGGGTCCCCACGTTTTCCAGAGGTCCGTGGGTCTTTCCAGAACGGTCAAGTGCCTTCCTGGGTTTGCAAACACCTCTTGATTCGCCGGCCCCAAGATGTTGGGTCGGAGATCCAAATGCTCGGAGAATCTTTTTTTACAGTTCTGGTTGCAGTTTGATTTTGGGGAGGTTGCAGCCCCCTCAATGTCGCTTTGGCCCAACTCTCAGGACATCGACTTGGTTCCATGACACTGTTGCGGCTAGCGTTGATTACCTGCTGACCTTTGGGTTGGCTTTGGTTTCCCTTTTGCGTACCCAGGACTCCTGTCTTTGATTTGACCCATGGCTTTCTTAGCTTCGGCCGGAGTTCCCGCCGCCCACCGGGCTGAGTCGGTGCGGTGGTCGAGACTTGGGCATAGGAAGTTCGCTCTGAGCCTTCCACTTGGCGGATGAGTTCTGGCTCTTTCTTTCGCCAGAGCTTGACATGCAGTTGTCTCTCCTAAATTAGCCAACACCTCGGAGAGCACATGCCATGGCAGCCGTTTGTGGCAGACCCACCAAAAAGAAGTCCATCTAGTATTGGCACATCTGCAGAATAAATCACCCAAACAGCCAAACGGGCGAGTGTCTTTCAGGATACCTTTTTGTGAGGTTGATGTCTATCTGGAAATGGAAGGAACGCACTCATTGGGGGGTTCCCTCCATGTGGAGACAAAACATCATCTGGCCACGCATTTCAATGGTGAACGCCCTCAACAATGATTCAAAGATGATTCCTGGACATACATCTCCCATGTTTCTTGGTGACTCCCAGCCATCCCCTTAGCCTTGTAGATTTTTAGGGTTTAGTGGGGGTTTCTATTTAACCCACCAAAAGTTAAACTCTTAGCAGGGGATCTGAGGACTGCACAGGTTTTCGTGATGTTCTAGGGGTAACTTCCCCATTCTTTCCAGGGATCCTTCTTTCTAGAAAACAACCAAAAACAATGGGGAAATGGCTGGTTTTTTGAAAAGACAGATGGCTGAAAAGAATGGGGAGTCAACCCAGGTCCCTTGAGGCTGCACACAAGTCGCTTGCTGCCCCCATGGCGCGCTTCTTGTGCGTGGGCTTGGCGCTGGTGCCGGTGGGGGGGCCCAGGCAAGGGTGCCCTGGGCCCAAATTCCTTTGGTTTGTTTTTACTCCCCAAAACGATTTGGGTATGGCTACAAAAGCGGGAAACCCCAAAATGGGTTGCCCTGATAAATGGAGACGTGGACTAAAACCTGCGGTCCATATCCTGGTGGTTTGACTTTGACCCATACCCCATTTATATCTTGGCATAGGGCAAATATGAACGTCCTACATTCTACCCAGAGTTGTGGGTTAGATGTGAGGTTGTGGCAGATGTATTGATGTGTTTACGGCCCATTTGACGGGGGGGTGGGGGTGGGACGAGCGCAATTTACACACAAATACACTAAATTCCCCGCAAAAACCCACGGGACCCACTAAATTTGTGTTGCGGGCAAATTAATGTATTTTGCCCACAGACCTAGGAATCAGCATCGTGGGTGTTTGGTCACAAACAAAACTCCTGCATGTTGTGCCCAGAGTCACTTGTGAATTGCTCTGTTTTTGGGACAGCCGCAGAAGGGAACGGGAAAGAGACGCAGGCGGAAGCAAATGATGATGATGTCTTCTGTGACCTTGTGGGGAAAAATTGCACCACCTTTTGCAAAAGGGGTGATGACCACATGAGCCGCGGTCTGGCTTGAACAAAGGTTTCAAGCCCGACATTTGCAAAGAAAGGTTTTCAGGCGTTGGAAGAATTGAGACAAGGTGAGGGGTTTACCAGGGATAGGCACTGGGGTCCTCCAATCCATGTCATGGTGCAAAGACCTTGGGGTTACCGGTTGAGTATTGGACCTCAATAAGGGTTTTAGACAGTCAGTACAAGGGCTCCTCTTAAGAAGACCATAACCATGACCCACATGAGGAGTTTGACCATGGCACACGTGGGGTCTCAGGATGACCAGGACTCATGTGGCAACACAGAAGAATGTGGGCCAGGAATCAACAAAATGACCTCATCACTGAAGAGTTGGTTCCTTTTTTTGGGCCCGTTCTTGCCTTCGAACTGTGGTCCAGGTCTTTTTTTCACTCTGATTGTGCGTGTATGTTCAAACTCGAGCGCGGGTTTTGTACGGGGGCCTTCCACAGTTTGAAGCAGGTTGATGGAAGTGGAGCCCCTGATTTCCATGAGGATCTTGGCTGCTCTTTTGTTTGACCTTTTCCCTTTTGCTGTGTGTGACGCTTGTTGAAGCTTATGAAGACACGCCGGGTGTCCAAAGCCTTCAGGTGAAGGTCGATGGCGCAATTCATTTTTTATTCAGTCATTTGTAGCCCTAAGCCGAGCCCAGTGGAGCAGTCCGGGCCTCGAGTTGGAATTTCTTCAGTCTACCGAACCTGACTGGTCCAGACCTAAAGGCGCCCGATTCTTTTGCGGTGCCCGCGCCCGCGGTGCAGCGAACAGGCAAGCTTAGCACACTGGATAGCCCTCCCAACGCTTGGCGGTGCTTTAAGCAGACCGGCCACGAAATTTTAGAACGGTTCCCAAAGAACACAAGGCTTGAAGGAACCACATGCCAAGCTGGGCTCTGAAGCAACCGTCAACCATGTTTACTTCAAAGCTTGTTATTGTCCAGGGCTGGGCTGGCAGGATTCTGTACTGTGAATTCTTAATGGGGACAGGTTCAGTGCTTGTAAACGTACATGCACGTATTGTGTTCTTATCAGGGGAGGTGCACGTGTCATTTTGCAAGGCCCCCAGTTCAGTCCTATGCGTGCTACCTTTGCCACTAGGACTCTTGCACCCAGGAAGAAGGAGAACCCGAAAGAGAGGGGGTCCGGTGTCCTTTTTTGAAGCCGAAAGGAAAACAGAAGGTTTAGAGGGTGCTTGGGTTCACTCAATACAGCGGACCGAAATTCTCCAGCTGGTAGCTCGTCCCAGTAGGGAATGATCCA